TTACACGATATAATGAAATAAATCCCAGCCTTTACTTCATTCTTCAACATGTTCTATGGAAAAGATGCCATTGAGGTCGAGGTTCAATGAGAAAGAAAATAAGCTAGCTACAAATATATCGATCTTATAAAACATAAAAGTGGCAAAGTATACTTGCAAAGTATGTTTGAGTGTTCAAAATTATTCATGACCACCATGTTTTATTTGTGTATTTCTTTTGTTCCTAGGTATATTCGGGTCATACTGCCGCCAATATGATTCCCGGATGGATGAAGATTCATTTTGGTGTGATAGAGGCTGTTGTGGAAGCTATGGGACCGAATACTGTTGCGGCATTGACGGCATCACGAAAGTCTTCTTTCTTTCTTTTTACTAAAAACATATGTATTCGAATAGAACTTTTAGCAAAGGCTTTTTTTCATCTTGAACCGAAAAACAACAACAACATATTTGTTTTTCTTGTCTTTCGGGTGATAGTGTTGTCCATATAATCAATCAGTCACCTGTGATTAGGTATTACAGAAGTCTTGGATAAGCACGCCACTTTGACGTTTGTAAAGTCGCTTTTCATCGGATAATCGTGGCTCAATTATATTTCTAAACAACCGTTTATATATAACAAGTCAGAAATCTTTATAAATAGAGAATAATGAATGAGTGTAGGTTTAATACTAATTTTATTGAACGAGTTGAATAAAATCATATAATGCGAGCCTCTGGCGAGCATAAATTTTGTTTAATTCAACGAGTTCAATAAAATTTGTATTGAATCTACACGAATATAATATTATATTTATCACATATATCAAATGAGAACGGTAAACTGATAAAAATAGCCATTTTTCATTGACGCGCCTATAGTGTAACGCTAACATTAGCGTGCTTTAACGCTGTTTATATATAACGCAAATGACGTCACGTCAAAGTGTTATTACACTAGTGTAAAATCGTGTTGATTAAATGGCTTAATTACACTCCTGTGTCGTGCTTAATGTGCTAAATAATAATATAATAAAGAGGAGAAGACATACAAAACAGTATTACGTACGAATTTTGATGTGGTATATTTTTTATTGAATTAGAACTCTTTTTGTCGTTTCTGTTTTAGGGATTGAGTTATTGCTGCCATTGTAATAAGCTTGATTGTCTTTGCCGTCATTGTTGCATCTATAGTGGTGGCCTGGTGCTGCTGTTGTCGGAAAACAAGAGGACAGATTGGACGGGTGTGCCAACCGGCTACATCTCAAACAACTACAAGTATAGTGTGTTTTAATGGTTTTATCTCAATATTATAATAAAGGATGTTGAATGAGTGTAATTTTTATACTGAATTTATTGAAGGAGTTGAATAAAATTATATTATGCTAGCCCCTCGCGAGCATAGTATTATTTTATTCAACAAGTTCAATAAATTTAGTAATGAACTTACACGAATTTAATATTTTTGTACAGGCTTTTGTGCAGAAAAATATAATGAATATAAAACAGACAAAAGGCCAAAAATTAAACTGTTATTGACATTGGCGGCATGCCTAACATAACATAGGATATATAAAATATTGTTCATAATAACGAACAATTATAATTCTACATACAACTTCGGTACAAAACACTGCTTTTTGGCACTTGAATTTATCCTAGGGGCGTCCGTGACTGAGTGGTTAAGGTCTTTGCTTTTGAACGATTTGCACCTCCCCGCTGTGTGTTCTGTGCATGTGTGGAAGCTATCCAGCTAGCTCTCGTAACGTCAGTGGTTTTATTCAAATGTCCTTTTGTTCTTTAAAAAATGCACGGAGGGGTACCTGAGATTTTCCTCTACCAGCAAAGCTGGGAAGTTGCCATGTGACATTTACCGTGTTGGTGCCACGTAAAGCTCAGTAAAGATACCTGTAAATTTCCCAAGCAATTTTATACCATGTTCCATTGTAGTTCAAATGCACAGTCAGCTGCCATATGGGCAGGTCGGCTATAACGGTACCGACAACATTCCCGTTACAATAATTATAATGACGTCGAATGTGACGCAAGGAACAACGCAACAATGGCAACAACTTGTACTTCCGCCATAGTACGAAGACTCAAGGCTCAAAAACAATAAGAAAAGATATGTGTGATAAATGTAAATGTATGTATCTAACAGTGTTGATAAAATGAGTTTAATTCGGTATCGGATTGTGTCTATGGGATTTTCTTTCTTTTAACTGTTTATGTTTTACATAACTTAATGCGGGCTTACTAAAAAGTAAATACGTCTGATGTGTACCACATATAAGAACATGAAACAGAAGAAAAGAAAAACTTGAAAAATGTGATGAAATGAAAACGTAAAAAACCACCAAGTAAAAAAAAAACAAAAAAAGCATTTGTTGATCCAAATGGAAGAAAGAAATATTTTTCCTCGTTTTCAAATGAACAGTATATTTACAAAATTGATGTAATACACTATATCTTTGCAACAATCAAACCAACGAAAGATCGCAGTTTTATTCTTGCTTCTGCCTCTTCTTACAATATTATGATATATTTTGTGTTGTTTAGCTGATTCATTTGTTTTGACTACAAATGCTGACTTAACTTTTTAAATCAGAAAATTGTTGAACCACTGTTTTAGTATTTTGACACCACGAGAAGCCGACTTTTAGGAAACGAAAGAAATAGAATATAGTTTGCAGAATGTATGATGCCAGAAGTAGGCCCTTTTAACTTTATATGTTAAGCCTTTGCAAATTTGTTCACAACTGAACAATTGTTTAAATGATTTAAAAGAGACGTGTAGACTTTTTTCCAAAGAAAGTTACATTTTACTATAATATTTATAATAAAGAAAAATGTCTGTTTTCTTCTAGTACCTTTTGATAATGACTTGAAACGTTATTGTTTTTTATTGTTAAAACTATCTTTGGCAAAAATGAGTTTGTTTTTAATCAAGAAATAATCATTACTGATATTAATAAATGTAAATACCCGTATAGATATAAAACATGCAGATCATGACATGTCTAAAAATAGATAAGCATAATTCAAACTTGAAGTGAAAAGCAAACAAACAGAGAAACATGGTGGGCAAGATTTTATTTACATTATTTTTTTTTCTGTTTTTTTTTTCAGGTAAGAGGTTTTTAGAAACTTTATAATCGATTAAAAATATTAAAATAATCTTTAACGGTTTCGTGACACTAGGACGACACATATTTTTGTTATTAATTCTGTCGATTATTTACCGATATTTAATTGTTAACATTAATCATGATTTAATGATATTATAAATTTAAAATAACATATCTCTTAGGGTAGTATTGCATACTAGCAGCCCTAGAACTAAAATAACACCCGGAGAGACATGGTGTTTTTATTTATCGAAGCAACATTTTGATATTATAGTAAAGCTGAGCCGAGCGATCAGGGGAGAAAACTAGAGCTAAAACATTACGTTTTCTTAAGTTTATATAGATTACTCTTCCCTGGGGAGTTTAGACCAAGTGATATTCGTTTGCAGAATGATAGATCGAAATAGCGCCACGTGACGTCACATTAGGCTATATACTAGTGAAAAGTTACTGATAATAAAAAAACAGGGACGCTTTCCTGTTTAGATTGAATGTCGGGTGCGTGTAACCATCACGGCGTTTCAAAAAAAAAGTTTTGACTGTACTAAAACAGAAACTAATAGGCACGAATCAATAAATGTCTCAGGCGTTTGCACGAATGAGCCTTATATGATCATAATGAGCTAAATATGTAAATAATAACAGCATTGTGAGTTAAACACAGTGAGTTAGATACAGTTACTGATAAATTATTATATTTATTTCATGTATGTCAACCAGTTATTTTTTTGTTTTATCAGTGAAATGAAATCAATATCACTTACAGTATATCAATCACAGTATGGGTGATATAGCTTTGCTAGTCTTTTCAGACATATGTTAATACGCAGTAAGAATTGTGCCGTTTTGTTGTTGTTATTGTTGCTGTTGTGCTATAGATTTTTGTTTAGTAAACCCTGGCTATCAAGTGCTATGATTTCTCATCATAGTTTGAGATTAAAGGTGTCCTTCTAAGATACAAATGCAGCAAGATATTTTTTAGTGAGTGTCAGTCGTATAGTTTTATCGTATACTGACCCCAACTTGGGTCCTCGTACAGAACGTAAAGTAGTACATGTATAAAGTAGAGAGGTATACTTATTGGTCAACATGATGGAGTTTTAAAAGCCCACTGTGCCTCAGAAATGTTATCAATTTTACTTCTAAAAAACTTTTATTTTTGATATTTTGATGCACCTTTCGAAAATAAAAATAAATATTTGCCTTATGTGTAGATTTTTCCGCTACTTTTGGCAATTGGTATAATTGTAGTGACTTAGTTTTGTGTATCGAAACAAAAATACTACTTTGTTTACCTTTAAATTTGCTACCTCTGCGATACATTACTTCACGTTCAGTGCTACTTTCTGCAGTTGATAAACATCCTAAATGCTCTAAATCAATTGTAAAACAATTATTAAACAAATGCTTGACATTTTGAAAGAATTAAAAAATAATCAATTCATTTCTGTCTGTTTTCTTAGGAACATTATCGACATCAACAAACCCGTAAATTTACCTATTTTGTTTCATTTAACACGCAAAAGATAAACTATCATTTTGTAAGACATTCTGTCAAGTCAAGGTCTTTCAAGACCCTTTTTAGGACCACCGGATGCCTTTTAGTATACACGGCAGTATTCGCCCGTATAATTTTAGTACTCTAAAGTAATTGCCTTCGATAGATTATCGCAAAAACGAAAACAAAAAGAAAATAATAAAACAACGAATAAAACAGAAGAAAAAAAACACACATAAAGTTCATTTTTTAGACATCAAAGAAATAAACTCATTACCTGTCTTAGACATATTACTTTTAAATTGTTCAGCTATTAAGAGTTCTACTTAGATAACAATATATAATGCACTTTCACGAGGCATGTACTTTCTATGCTACTTGATATGATATGTTGTGTATGTTTATTACGGGTAGACAAATATTCAGTGGGACATGCTAAAAATAGAAACAGGATCATATATCAAACTTAAAACGAATGGTGGTAAACAAACAGACAATATTTAATATGGCGGACAAGATTTTGTTTACGTTTATTTTATGTGCGGGGATTACAAGTAAGAAGTTTATATTAAAATCTATTTTATATCATTAAGACTTGAAATATTTTACTCATTACCCGTTTAGGGAGACTTAAAGGAGGTTAAAAACAAAACATTGTTTTTTAATTATAGATATATCAAGATCTATACGGTAACTTATACATGTAAATATTTATCATGAATTTAATGGGATGATGTCGTCCAGTTTAAAAATTAAATTAACTACTGTCGGAAGGTAATCCCACTACATGTATCAAATAATGTGGCAACAATAGTTTTGTAATAAGCTATCAGTTTTAAATAATGTCAAATCATATAATACTCGTCAAGGATAGGCAGGACCTTTATCGTAGGTTTTATATGACGTTAAACTGCGAGGGACAGAAGTTTGTGTAGATCATAGATGCTTTAGTTTTTTGTGATAGCGATTCTTATATAATTATTTGTCAGTTATCGTCATACAGTAAATGGTATTCCATAAATTACTGGAGTGCTATGTACAATAGTGAAAAAATGCATTAATAAGTGAAATATCGAAAGTGAATGAATGGTGAACATTGAGTGATATATGAAGACTCTATAATGTGTGAATAACATACAAAGTGTTAGTATTCTAGGAGCAATTACGAAATTCTAATAGTATCAAATGAAATGAAATAAGATATTGGTTATAACACGAATCAAAAGGCGAAATTGCGGTTGCGAATAGATTATATTGTATAACGTCATTTAAATTACATGTATTTCCAATAGGTGTTTATTAATGACAACCTGTATAGTGTATTGGAAGCGACGTTTGTGTCTCTTCAAAATAATCAATACAGTTTACAATACAGTATTATAATACATTATTGTTTTTGACAGGCTTGAGACATTTGTCAAACAATCATTGTCATATGATATTGAAACAGTACAGCGAATGTTATTTCGCATTTTGTAAGGAAGTCAAAATACTATTTCCGTTACATTTTGCTACTTATATTACATATAATTTTACATTTTTACATTTTTGTTCAGGTAACAGGCATTCAATATACTGTAAAACTATAATTTAAATATCATAAAAGTTTTCTTTTCGTTTTTGATCTTAAAAGCAGACCTGAGTAAAATTTACTATACAAGAGTACGACAGTTTTATTTCTATCGATTTAAACGACACGTTAACTATGACCCACTTTTAGATAAATGCAGGAAGAAAAAATATCATAAACTGTTAAGAATGAATATTATCACGCGGCTATAAACATTTTATTACGTTCTATGGCGAAGGTTCGATCAGAATAATTCGATATGTCAGTATAGTCAAACCATTGTAGGTTTTCGCGTTGTCTACTAGTCGAAGTACTGTGCCCATAGCTAGCGTCCGTATCCTGTCTAAGGCCAGTTATTTTTATCCAACGGCTTTTACAAATCGTACAATGGAAGCCCCGAGATTTATTTCTATAATAACCTTGAAATCAGCGTAACAGCATAACTGATAAACTTCTTGTTCATTTTAATAGGCTATCGATATGTTGGTTTTTTTTTTACCAAATGCAAGATGAAGTCATATAATTTCCTTTGTCATTTTAAAGATCTTTTGTTGTTCTCTTTGCTAGCATTTATAACCTTATTAAATTATTGATGAGATAAGATAAACAAAATGTCTTCGGAAAGCAGTGATTTAACAGGATGTTTAAATTGCTTTTATCTGTTTTGCGCGTCAATCTTTATACTATAGGTAACAAAAAGCAGCGAAATAAACTTTGATTTTACGCTGCATCAACACAGCTAACGTCATATGGGGTGAAATATACGATTATGCACAAAAGTGACAATTTATATTTCGCCGCATTTAATTATCACGTAAACTGTGTCGGTGGTCTGTAAAACCAAAGTATATTTCGCTATGTTTCGTGATTTGGATCTATACGATTATGCTCACATGTTATATTTGAAAATACTGACAATAAGTAAACAGTCTCTTTCTAAACATATTTTTAGTAAACACAGAAAAGATAAATTATGTTGCGTTAAACACAGGGGGGATGCATATTGTCATTAATTAACACTGGCATTTTAATGAAACAACCAGCTTTATTTGACCGGTTATAGAAAATACAGCTTCCAAAACATAGTTTGTTCATTCTCTTAATATTCAAATAAGACATTTTCAGTAAGATTTTTCCAGATTTCAATATAGTTTTGCAAGACAAGTATTTTACCTATAAATGATCATAGAATATTTTTAAGCGCAAGCTTATTTCACGTTTAACGAAAGCTTATTATTATTATTATTATTATTATTACTTTTATTTTTATTATAATTATTACTTATTTATCTTTTATTGGTTCCCAGGTTCATTTGCGCGAAAAAAATGTTACAACTATGATACCTGGGAACATGACGATTCATTTTGGTGTGACGAAGGCTGTTGTGGAAGTTATGGTGATAAATACTGTTGCAACGAGTCCGACGACGCGTAATGTTGTTCTTTTTATCTTAGAATTAATTTGTCAAAATAATTTATTTTAAAACAATAACAATTAAAAAATCATTGTTTCAAGCTTAATCTTAAACTAAAGATACTAATGTATGTGCATGTAAAGCAAAGAGTTTTCTTCCACTTTCTTAAAGAATATGTGTTATGCTCTGCCTAATCAATCACGTGTAAGGATATTTTATGCTCAACATAGATGAAATGTATGACCTAACTTATCTATTCCATACACGATTTTGAAACATTTTCTTCTAACACAATGTTGTATGTTTTATTTATAGGCTATGTTTATATTATATTTTTATGTTATATTTTAGAAAGATCACTACAAATCTATATATTAGGTCTTCAAAGTTAAATTGCCTGTCTGTTTGCTTCCGAGAAGCATTGGAGAATTTAGTAGGAAATTAACATTGCACCATTGATATACAAAAATTAAAGAGAAGAAAAGAAAAGAAAACGAGAAGAGAACAAGAAAACCACACTCCAAAAATTAAGATTTTTAATTCCAAGCATTACATATACACAGCAAATATCTTAATTATAGTGAATGGTTTTCTGTTTCAGTGTCGGGGCAATTGTTGGCATTGTTATAGGTTGCATAATCTTTGTCGCTCTTGTTGTGTCAGTAGTGGTGGCCATATGCTGTTGTTGTCGTAAAACAAGAGGACGTACCGGACAGGTGTGCCAACCGGCTACAGCTCAAACCACAACAAGTATATGTGTTGTTTATATCAAATATTTCATTATATTGTCATCTACAAAATGCCAGTTTTAAATGATTTGTATGCACATGAATTGCACATAATGCAATAGCTATTTAGGAGATGAATAGCATCATTTAAGGGAATAGGTTTTTGAATAGTGGTAGTTACGTTAAAGTTTTTATCCCCGTACAACAAAATTTATGGAGCACTGCCGTTCACAAAAGATTAGTCAGTCAACCGGTTGCGCTTTTCTTTCATTTTTTTTTAATTTATTTATTTATCTATTTATTTATTTATGTTACTATTTTATTGTATTTTATTTTTCTTCGTTATTTTATTACTTTTTGAAGTTGTGTCTGTAAAAAAATGGTTGTAACCCATGATTAGCTTGAATCACTCATCCAAAGTATTGTTAATTACGACACATTTCAGGATTTGCTTTAAAATGCTAGGTATATAGCTCACAGCAAAACCATTGTATTCTTTTGTGAAGAACAGCTTAACATTCATTATCCCAGTGAAGTCAGCCAATTTGCATTAAAATGCGAATTTTGTTAAAGTCCATTAAGCGGAAGTCTCGTGAAATTAAATCTTAAACTGTTTACCACGGTCCCTTCAAAAACAGAAAATGGTATTGTGCTTTGTTTTGCGATAAGGGTGTTTATTTATTACATACACACTACGTTTAACAAATTGTAAACAGTCTGTGCCATTCTACATTTTAGTTCAAATGCACAGTCCCCTGCCGTATGGACAAGTAGGATATAACGGCGCCATTAACATGCCAGTTACAATAATGACGTCAAACGTGACGCCAGGAACAACGCAACAATGGCAACAGCCGGTGGCTCCGCCAAAGTACGAAGACATTGCTCCGAATGAGCAGAAATGAGCAGAAAGACGTATAACAAAGCGAAATATAGAACATTATCTGACATTGATGAAGATTTTCTAAATAACTTTATTAATGTTTCTGGAATTTACTTTTTTACTATTTGATGTTTTGTTGTTGTTTTTTTGTTGTCGTTTTTTCGTTATGCGTTCTAACTATCGATTAATATAATTTATGTGTGTGCCATTACACGTAACAAATATACATTGTGATAAGAGAAGGGAAAACCCACAACTTTATCTAAAATGAACTTTGATAAAATACAGAAAATAAATTATTTGGTTTCTTTAGTTGCGGTTTTATTCTTCGTTATATATTTAAAACTTTTTATATATCGTTTTGTTTAACAGATATATTTATTTCTGTTTTCTGTGTAAAGTTGATTAAACTTTGTTTTTCTTAAAGAAATGCATCATTTATATGTTTTCTTTTGCTTTCGCACAATGGAGTCTTGCCTTTGCCATTACAATTTCAAAAAGCACAATGAAATTAAAGTCAGACAGCTGTTGGAGAAAGTTTTGTGTCATCAGCATTGTAGAGTTATTACAAACCATGAAAAAAATTTATGTATATATTTTAGTTTTAATTTGATAATATTGTATTGTTAACATCTATATGTTAAATTAAATACAATATATTTCATAACTTTACGTACTTTATAACTCGTAAAATAATATGTTGATAGTATGGCAAAAGTTCTAAAAACATTATCTTTGGTCCTCCACGAAAATCAATGATGACTTAAAGCAGCACGCCTCCGGATTCATGTTAATTATCATGAACATTTTAAAAATGTTTCAAAAAGTAAAATATTTTGAGGTGAACAAATAAAGTAATTCATATTTTGCAATCTGCACTTACAATCCACTAAAAGTACCCAAAAGTGATCAACATATACAACAAACAGCCCTTATAGCGGCAGTAACGCAGTAGAAATATGATGATTGAATACTGAAAAATCAGTTTAAAACCGCACGTAACATGTTAAATATAACTTGAATCTTAAATGTTTTTACCTTTCTTAAAATTTAAGTACATGTACATGTTTCTAAATATTCATTTTCTTTTTTGGAATATTTCGTTTATCTCGAGGCGTGCACCTTTAACAAAGACTTTTGAAGATGAAAATAAATCACTATTATGCTAAATAAAAATCCGTAGCTGAATACATATACATTGTAGACGATAATAGTTTAAATGTTTTTGGTTGACTGATGGATAATAGGTAGACTGGCTGGGGCGACATCACGTGATGTTTCTGTTTAATGAAATGCCAAGGCATTTAGGCCGAGGCAGAAACATCCCGAGATGTCGCCCAGCCAGTGTTATACCACTGTAACTAACGGGTTTCATGAAATATAACTATTTTATCGCAATTTCATATTTCTTTTGTAACAGAAATAGCAAAAAAACTCAACTGTTATATATTTAATTTAGTTGATTTTTTCCCTATCTGAATCTATGCACTGTTATATATCGATACAGTTTTTAAATCCTCATTGAACGTGTACTGAGTATAATGAGATAGTAAGAACAAAGAATAACTTCTAAACCATGCGATAAAAAATGATATAATTATATTCTTTGATGCCGTACACTCGGATAGATTGAAAAATACGAAAAGATCTTTAGTTCTAGGAAAATCATTTGTTAAATCAGTTGTTAAGCCGCAATTTAAGGTCCCGTTCCCGAGTTTTTATGATACAAATGTATATCCTCTGTATATTTAGATTTTGATGGTAGACTAGTACTGGTGTAACTCTCCAGGAACGATGGTTAGGAAACTACCCGCCTATATGACTGAAATACTGTTGAGAAAAGGCGTAAAATGAAACAAACAAATAAAATTTTGATATTTACAAACTAACATTAGACATTTCTTAATACAAAACAGTGCAAAACCAAAATAATTTAGTATGGCATTACCTATGTACCGTAGTTTAAAGCAGTTGAAAAAGCAATACAATTAGTTAAGCTCAACATCCCGGTTGCAATTATGATCTCAACCCTGACGAGGTCCCGACAATGTACAAAGACTTGGCTATGAAAAACTTTTGCGATACAGAAGATGTATAGTGAGATACGTATTGTTATTAGGTGTATAAAAACACAGTTTAAGTTTAAACATTTTACTTATAATTGGATACTAGTATATCTTCAATGATGTGTTGCCTTGTAAGTTGTAATAGAAACAGTAATAATAATGATAAATATTACAAAAAAATGACAGGGTACTTTTGAAATGTTGAAATGAAATATCTTCAATTTTGTATATCCAAGGATAAATTATAATAAGACTTGGTTCAATAAAGAAATTAGCCCACTGATCTTCATTGAGAGATTCATTGAACAAATTTTAGTTTTATTTTAAAGTGATAATTCATGATATTGATTTAATTTCAAACAACAGACGAAATTCAAGTGTTATTACAATTTTGAAAAACGCAATTCGCTACTTTTTAAGCTTGAAAAGTGAAAATTACGAGCCTAAGAAGAACATGTACACATACATTACTCACAATTTAAATGTACAGTACTGTGCCATAAGTACTAAGGCTATAAACAACCATAACAACAAATCATTTTCTTTCAGCGTGTAGTATATTATTCTTCTCGCATCAAATACCAATCAAAAATCATCGAGTCGTATATTAACAATTTTATACAAGACTGCATTAAAATTAGTGAATGCGGAAGACATCCACGTACTTGAATTTATCACTAGCAATCGTATAATAATAAAATATAAATAACAAATTTTACACGCATCATAGCTAAGTGTTTATCTGCACTGACACGAGACGGTCGTGAATATTCTCCGGGTAAATAGTGTCATCAATATTCTAAAAAAAAACAAAAAAACAAACAAACATGGTGGAAAAATTGTATTTACGTTTATTTTGTTTGCAGGATTTACAAGTAAGAGGTTTTTAATTTGTTCTATAACTTTTAAAGATAAAATGTTTAATTGATACCAAATCGTTGAGACAGAAATAAAACAGATACTTTATTTATTATAAATTTTATACCATACATTTGTAAACATTTTAGAGTACACGTTTAAATTTTAGAATTTTAAATAATCATGGTTTATGTACTAGAATGTTACATTAAATGCGTGTTACCTGAAGAAGTATGTAAACTTATTTGTCATAAATGTAGCAAAATGTAAACATAGAAGTATTTTTACTTCCATAAAAAATTAATAGCCAACAACATAAATGATGAATGTTTTTCTTTGTCCGCAGATACATTTGCACATAAGCGGGGGTAAGTCGTTACTTTTTGTCCAAAAATATAAAAAAAAAATTCAAGTATAATTTCAAATCAAAGTATAAAGTGTAATTTAAAATTCATAGAAAATACATTTTTTTATTGTTACTGTAAGGTTTAACGTTTGTCAAGTTAATGCATATTCAGTGAATGCATTTAATTAGATATTTCTTTCAGTCACGTGATATAATAGCAGGTCTAGATTTATTTTAAGTTGTTTATTAATTTGTTTTCTACAAAAAAGATATTTCTATAATTTTAGAGGGTCAATGATAAAATTTTTTATGTAAAGTTTCACTATTAAGTGGTATGTTCTTTTGCCAAAGTATGGTTTTTGAAAACTATAGAAAGAAACTCTATGAAATCATTTCGGCACAGCTAAATGCATAATTAAACACAAAATAAATCAACAAAATAATAAAGATAGGGGAAAGCCAAATTCACACACCGTATATTTTGCACTAAGCTTTTTTTGTATGAATTTCCACGACACACTACGGTTATTTTTTTTAAACGTTTCAGGCTATTATCTTACGTCAGTTTCGATTTTGTTATTGGCGTGATGGTATTTATTGTCATCACTGTTGTAGTATGTTTAACGGTATGCTGCTTGTATCGTCCAAGGAGAAGAGGACACATTGGACAAGTGTGCCGACCGACTCAACCTCAAAGAGTATGTTTATCATTTTTATCAATAATCTTAATGTCCTATCATATATTAGAAATATCAATTAAAATGTGTTTCAACTGGATATGAATTTAGCATTTAAATTGAAAAACTGCATTTGCCATTCTTTCCATTGCTTCAAAGTTAACACTTTACGTAAAACTAGAGCCTAAAATGAAAGAAATCATGTTCATAATATTGAAGTTATTCGTGGTCCTAATTAAAGAATGAGATGGGCGTCAGTTTCCATAGACATGTCATTTTGGTACAGTGTACTGCTCTTTTTTTCTTTTTTCTTTTTTTTTGACAATGATATTTTACGCAATTAAATTCATAACGTTTTGTGACGGTTTTAATTAGCAATAGGCACGTTATCATCAATACAATACAATATATATTCGTAGATTTGATAATTTGTAATAATTTGAAGAACTTATGTATTTTATTTAGGTTTCATTTCAGTTGATATCCGCAGTCCGCCGCCATACGAACAGGTTGGCTATAATGGTACCATCAACAGGCCGGTTACAATAATGACGTCAAACGTGATACCAGGAACAACGCAACAATGGCAGAAGCCGGTAGCCCCATTGCCTCCAAACTTCAAAACAACGAGAAGAGAGAGACTTGTAATAAAATAATCATATAATGTGTCTGCCGTTTATTAAATATTTGATACTAATGTTGTATTAAAGTGACATTATGCTCATTTTTCCGGGAAGTTGAGACGAATTAGCAGTTTTTTTTCCTCTTAAGATTGGCTATTGTAATTGATCAATAATTAATGATGAAATATATAAATGGTGATATAAAACAGCTACCTTAATTTTGAACTGTCCAACACTTTCAACGTTACAGATACAGATATTTATAGTAAACGTGCCGTTGCGCACATTTATTACTATTTATTTATCCATAGTATTTATAAAATTGAAAACAATTTTTTTAATTTTATCTGTTCAGTGATACTTGGATGGGCATACAGATACTTTAAATGCGTTTTACTATTAAGACAGTACGTCTGGCATGCATGAAACAAAACAATTTTTATTGAAATATCAGAATAATTTTGGAACTATTTAAAGGCCAAAATGTGTCTTGATTCTGTTGCGAATTGGCCCAAATCTATAACAAAAAATCAGTCGTCGCAAATGTTTCTCGTGATATGCTTTTGAACAGGCAATTTAGTCTTTCCTTTATTGACTAAATAGAAACATCTACAGATTTTCATAGTGTGGTTATCAAAAAGCCTTTAATGTGCCACAATAGTGCCATGTCATTGAACGAAGCGTATTGTCCTCAAATGCTTGTGTCATAAACGAAAACATAATAATAAATAATATTAACAAAATGGGGGAACTAAATTTGAAAAGGGGATCAACAGTTATTATGCGAGAGAAATAAAAACTCCCTAAAGAACGGTTAAGACGGAAACATTAAAATGTTAGAGTTTCGGTTTGATTGAGCCTGTTCTTGGACGGAACTGGAAAGTGGTACCTATCGTCCACGCCCATGCAACATTTTAACACATGAAATGGTAAAATTGTGAATTAAGAATAATTCGCAGATGTGGCTGCAACTCTAGAATGAGCAGGTTCATCTGCATTGTAATAGTCACAAGACAACTTCCTAGCTTTGCTGCCTGCTGGAGGAAGATATAAGGTGCCCCTCATAGCTTTTTTCACGTATGAGCGATACGTCTCCGCGCGGTATAAAACTATACAACAAAACACTAAATGTTGTATTGCGTGCGGCGGCAAATCTGTCAGAAAAAAACAAACTTTTTACTTGACGTCGGCGAGCTAATGATGCTGTTATACAAGTAGACTTTGTCTGTATGCTGGTATCATTATGTTGGTCATCCGAGTAAAGTTCACAGAACCTGTTGTATTTTTGTTCGCTTTTCCTAAGATACTTCTTTGGACAGTCCAGGACATGTGGCAAAATTTCCTTTTGCAAGTATTTTATCCTCAAAAACATACTTCACTCGTGTGCCTTCATTACATCTGACGGACCAAGTGGGAGACTCTATGATGGATAGTTCGTAAAGCCCTTTGGTACTGAATTGTCTTAATGTTCGTCTTCTGCCTTGCTTCGTCGGGCCCTTGTAGGTGATTTTCTTGTTGCTCTGTCTTCCTTTAGGACATTGAGTACTTTTGTTATGGTCATTGGGTTTACTTTTATATGTTTCTACATGATCATTTTAGTGTTTACTTATTTAACCTTTTGTAACCATGACAACTGTTAGAATTTCACTTGGCGGGGATTCATTTAATTTACACTGTCTCGTTTATAAGAACATGGTGGGGCTAAGAGCGAGGTTTGGTGCACCATTAACCGGTTTAAACTCCCCAGCAGTCATTATTATGCTGCTGACCGTTCCAAGGCGGCGCCCCTCTGTGTTCCTCAGATGTATGTCTATGTTGTTTCAAACTGTTTGGGTGACACTTTCGCTTGTGTCCCTTGTTGTTTTCTCCTCTACGGTAAGTATCTTCCCCATTACCTCTAGTTTTTATATCTTTGATTAACCCGCCCCCCTTCCCCGTGTCCCCTTCCCGTTTGTGGGCTATTATTTAATCATTTATTTGTTTTCTTTGAATTCATAATCAGTTACAAATTATTTATTATTTAGTGATTAACCTGTCCGTGCTCTATCTTTGCCCTGTTTTTGTTTGGGGTCCGCCTGGGCTCCTTGCCACTGGTTCTTGTTGCTGGGTCATATGGGGGTTGCGTTCATTGAACGCCGCCTTTCCTTGTTAATCTTGTTTATCATATTTTTCAACAACAGCTTGAATTCAATTGAATATATTTCAAAACGAAGATGGTGGTGTAATGTCATTTGATTTCCTTCCAAGAAGAAAAATTATTGTATTAACTTCAGAATATAAGCAACAACTAGAATAAAGGTCTGTATCCCTTCATTTATAAGCGAGTCTTACTAAAAAGTCCATTTCAAAGCAATATACACATTTTATTTGTTTTTTGTTCAAAAGACTGTTCCCATAACTCTAAAGAATTACAAACTTAGCTATGTGTAAATGTTAAAAATACACAAAATACTTGAGAGTGATCTTGGTTTTCCTGTAACCCGATCAAACATTTTTTATGAAATACGAAAAGATGTCCAAAATTACCTGTTAGTACCCTGAGTGGATGGACAGTAAGAAGTGTCTCATTTGCGTTATGTATATATATCAACTAAGTTTATAAGCAAAATTTAGTAATCAGTCCGTTTTAGATTTCTGTCATTATTTAGCTTGCATATCACTGGCGCCGGTAATATATCGTTTGATATCAAACAAATATGCACCACTTTTGACAAAGCAAACTTAGACAAAAATGACAGTTGCGATACAATTATACTATATTTATTGCCGCAACACAAATTTTCGACCTTATATAATATGAATGTTTACAGCCCTTTTGGCTATTATGTTTTACTGGTCCATATTTGGCATTATATATGCACGTAATAATATATTTTAGGCTGACGTTTACAAAAAAGGCCTTTATGAATTGAATAATTTAAAAGTGTTGATTGAATGTATACGTACATTCTCGTGTTATTTTTTTCTCAAAAGTTCACAGACAAACTAGATAAATGATTTTTATTAACCGGATTCAAGGAATTAAAAATTTTACCCAATTGCAAATTCTGCCAAAGTAAAGTACACTACTGTTCTACCCGCAACCCGCTGTTCTACTCGTAACTGGTTAACGGTTGTGTTTTACGGGTAAATAATCAGCATGATCGATATGCTATGAATAGATAGCGTAATGTTACATTGTGAAACATACACACATAGATGAGAAGTTTTTTGTCACATTTTTGTTGTTAGTGGGATTTACAAGTAAGGAATTTATGCATTTAGAATTTTATTTTTAACTTTTAAATGAATATTTTCAGCTTTTAGATCTAACGGACTCGGTAGCGAAATTAGTCTGAGATAATCTATATACAGTATAGTCTAGATGCACAAAATGGAGATGTTGTAAAGAATATTTAATGGATCAGTCATCATACACTGAATTTCATATAGTTATTGATTTATTATATGTAAAATAAAGTGAATGATGACGTCATGTTGAATTAAAATGACTTAAATGCATTCGGTGGTATTTATAGATGAAGTGACCCTGACATGTAAAATATGGTAATTATTGGCGATATTAGACTTGTTAGTTTGTTAATTTTTAGCTCGTCCGTTCAAAGAAAATGTCGAGCTATATACTCGCCTACTCGCCGTTATCGTTGCCGTCCACCGGTGTTCGGCGCGCTGATTAGTCCCTCCATTACCCACTTTATACCTAACTACCGGTTAAACGGGTAATTTAAAAAAAAACAAAAAAAACAGCGGTCAGATCGCTGTCGACTTACACTTGTGGTGGCCTTGAAATTGCATACCTTCTTATAAATTGAAATGATTGTAATGACAGCTAAAATATTTCATTAAAAAATAATTAATTCCCTATCATTGGTATCAGGAGTTTGAAAATTGGTGAAAAAATGTTGGCGTTATGGAGTTCATATTAAGATGTGTGCTGAAAAATGAGCGGTGAGTTGCATACCTTTACTAAATATAGTCATTTTTGTAGGGAATAAAGGAAATTAAATTAAAAGCATATATCAAATATCAAAACAGGTTAAAATGAAAAATACTGCAGTTGACATAATTTTGGAGAAGTATAGGAGGGTAGAAGTGTGTGTTAAGGAGGGGGGGGGGGATGTAGTAACCAATCAAAGCGCCGAACACCTGTGTTGCCATCGTGCAAAAAACTGAAATGCTGTCCTATTAAAAACTTAGAATGCTTGCATAGCATAAAAGAGGCGCATTTATTTTTACAGCTATATTTTTAAGTTAAGCCCAAGTTTAAGCATTTTGTTTAAATTGCCTAAAATATTTCAACATGAATTTGAAATACTCGTTTATCTAAACAAGGTACAGTTATTTGACAAAGGATGTTGGCATTATAATTCAGAAAACAGTTATGACCCTTTTTTAACATAACATTTTGTCATAGTTACATTTTAAGTAGAATGATTTCAAAAGTATGAAGTATATCAACATGAATTTTGAAAAGTCTTGTCAGAAATCAAGCACGATGTTAGTTTCATGTCATCTCAAGTATGATACAAGCTTAGAAATTCATTTTTCCTTCAGTTTGAAGACATATTTAGAGTAAAAAATCTTGCTAATGTGTCTTTCTGTTATTACTTTTTGGAGTGTTTCGCATTTCTTAAAATGGGAATACTTCAGTTTATGCAACATGTATGAAGGCAATACATTTTTTATTTGTTTTAACATTTATAATATTTTCAATTATTTTTGTTTTGTTTTTTGTTTGTTTGATGAAAGTAATTTTATTTCTGTATGTTTTACCTTGCTTAAATGTAATGACAAAATGTTATAGTTAACTGAATTCATTTTAATTTAAATATGCTGGAGATATAGACAACATGTTAAAATATCTAATATCAAATGCAGGAAGAGAATACATCATAAACGCTACACTTCACATGTTTTACAAGCATTTAAACACGTTCCGTTTTGATTACCCTTCAACAGTTACAATTTCATACTATACTCGTATCTACGTTACATTTAACCACGCAAATTTTAATGTAAATCAAACAGAGTGTTGACGTAAAATTATGATCGAACGACATTTCCTACAATCAGAATCAATTAAAGAATATCCTTTGACTTTGATTATATAATAAAATACGAAACATCTTCAACAGTAAAAACTGTGATTTCATTTTCGGATATTTAGCCCGACTTTTTCGAAAAAATATAGAGCTATTGCAGCAGCCATGTTGTCGTTGGCGTAAACTACTTTTAATTAACGTTGGTAATATATTTTTTTTTATTTCTTACTAGATTGCCACCATACTTAGACACAACAATTCTTTGGACAAGATCTTCAAGTTTATCAGACTGTACTTGACATTAACTCGTCCCTTACCGCAACATAATTGACATGTTTTAAACTTCTGATATTACCTTGTTCTTTCTATTGAGATTGACTGTCAATGTCAAACTATTGCAATCTGTTTAAATGGTCAAAACTTTGACATATTTTACGGATTTAATTTATACCCGGACAAGGGACACATATGAATAAACTGACATGTTGAGTTTTCTGATCATCATGGTCAAATTATTGACATTTATTTTAACCCATTACTTCATGAGCATTTTGTGAAAAAGGGCTGTTTTCATTGAAAAGTCTCCCGTTACAAGTTCAAATTGCTTTAAAACTATAAAAACTGCTTCAACACTAATCAAACTTGGCACAAATGTTGACTGGACCATTGTCCTTGCAACAACATGCTCAGGCTTAAATTTTCTGTTACCATCACTATTATGCGTTGATTTTTTCCATCAAAATTGATTTCAAAGTGCTGCAACTTCTCAATGGATTGAGATAGAGTCAAATGCTTTTCAGCGTTGGTTACACGTTACCTTATGATCAATCTGGGGTCATTTACAGCCTCTCACAAGTCCAAAATTTTCTTGGCGATGAGGGGGACTCCGCCCCCCCTTCAACCCCCCCCCCCCAAACAGAAGGGGGCACATCCCCCTTCTGGCAACCCCCTGATGTATCTTTTGGTTGGGGGCCGCGCCGAAAAAAGGGTCACTTTTTTAACAACATTTCTCAAACAAAAACAAGTGTTTGGGGCCTAAATAAGGCATTTTTTCATCATTTGAGACAACAAAAAAGGGGGGGGGTGAAAAAGGCGTTAAAAGGCGTGTATATGAAGTAATGGGTTAACAGAAAATGATGAAAATACTTGAAATTACCCTAAATCGCGTTTTTTCATGTTTAAACATGGCCTGTCATATAAATTTGAAGAAAAATTGTTGTTTTGTAGATTTTTTTATTCTTTTCATTCACCCATACCTTCATGAGCATTTTGTGAAAAATGGCTGTTTTCATTGAAAAGTCTCCCGTTACAAGTTCAAATTGCTATAATACTATAAAACTGCTTCAACACTAATCAAACTTGGCACAAATGTTGACTGGACCATTGTCCTTGCAACAACATGCTCAGGCTTAAATTTTCTGTTACCATGGCAACGAGGGGACATCTCAAAATTGCCAAAAATCACTATTATGCGTTGATTTTTTCCATCAAAATTGATTTCAAAGTGCTGCAACTTCTCAATGGATTGAGATAGAGTCAAATGCTTTTCAGCGTTGGTTACACGTTACCTTATGATCAATCTGGGGTCATTTACAGCCTCTCACAAGTCCAAAATTTTCTTGGCGATGAGGGGGACTCCGCCCCCCTTCAACCCCCCCCCCAAACAGAAGGGGGCACATCCCCCTTCTGCCAACCCCCTGATGTATCTTTTGGTTGGGGGCCGCGCCGAAAAAAGGGTTACTTTTTTAACAACATTTCTCAAACAAAAACAAGTGTTTTGGGCCTAAATAAGCCTTTTTTCATCATTTGAGACAACAAAAAGGGGGGGGGGTGAAAAAGGCGTTAAAAGGCGTGTATATGAAGTAATGGGTTAACAGAAAATGATGAAAATACTTGAAATTACCCTAAATCGCGTTTTTTCATGTTTAAACATGGCCTGTCATATAAATTTGAAGAAAAATTGTTGTTTTGTAGATTTTTTTATTCTTTTCATTAACCCATTACTTCATGAGTATTTTGTGAAAAATGGCTGTTTTCATTGAAAAGTCTCCCGTTACAAGTTCAAATTGCTATAATACTATAAAAACTGCTTCAACACTAATCAAACTTGAGACAACAAAAAGGGGGGGGGGTGAAAAAGGCGTTAAAAGGCGTGTATATGAAGTAATGGGTTAAAATGTAATTATTGGTTTTTTAATTACAGAATTGAAATTATACTTTGAGAAAAGAACACAAATGACAAAACCGACATTTTGAATTATTCCGATGTGACATTGACCTCTAATTGACCTTCAAAGTCAAAATGTTGAAATTTACTAAAATTATCGTAACTTCATTATGTATTTATGGATTTGGTTCGTTCTTTAACAAAAGAACAATTTATACAAAGCTGGCACTGGATATTAATTCAAATGTAACCTTGACCGTCAAGTTCATATATTAAATTTGAATTATAATTTGTTCAAAACAGTAACATTTTTTAGGAGTATTCTTTACTGCAATATTATTTCCTCAATGAGTTAGGATCATTCACTCCTCCCTGGGTGGCGCTTGTCGGTTTATACAAAAATTATTAGCAAATTGATCATTGCATTACACGTTAACTTGATTGAAGACGACTTTTGCACGATATAATGAAATTAATCCCAGCCTATTCTTCCTTCGTCATCATGAATGAAATATATCGATCTTATCAAACATACAAAGTGGCAAAGTATGTTTGAGTGTTCAAAGTTATTTATGACCACCATGTGTTATTTTATATTTTATTTCTTACTTTCCTAGGTATATTCGGGTCATACTGTCGCCACTATGATTCCCAGATGGATGAAGATTCAATTTGGTGTGATACAGGCTGTTGTGGAAGCTATGGATCCGAGTTCTGTTGTGACTTTGACAACATCACGAAAGTCTTTTTTTGTCGTTTTTGTTGTTCTACAAACACACTATTTCGGAAATGTTTTAATTATGTCAGCGATGAAATATCTTCAAATCCGGATCTGGTTGACTTTCGAAAGAAATTTTAAAATTGGAATTTCTTTTGTCATTGTGCGACATAATTATATAATTATCATATATTTCTGCACGTTTGTAACGCCGCATTTTATTGGATTATCGTGGCTTGGTTATATTTCCAAACAGCCGTTTATATGTAACCTGTCAAAAATCTTTACTAATAATAATATACGAAAACAATAAAGGGAGACATACGAAACAGTTTTCCGTATCAATTTTGCAATGATATATCTTTTATATATCTTTGTATTATAACTCTTTTGACGTTTCTATTTTAGGAATGGGGCTATTGCTGCCATTGTAATAAGCTTGATTGTCTTCGCCTATAGTGGTGGCCATGTGCTGATGTTGTCAGAAAACAAGAGGACGGATGGGACGTGTGTGTCAACCGGCTACTGCTCAAACAACTACAAGTATAGACATTGTGTTTTTATGGTCTTTTCGCAATATCACTAAACAAAATGTCATTTGAATCGATTAAGGGCCTAACCATATGTTTCAATGCGCTAAAATAGTTTCTTTTTAAAAGTTGTGTTTGTTATATAAAAACATCTTATGTTATGAAGCCGCCGACTGTACATGCTTTGGTGCAAAAAATAGATAACTAAAAGGGAATAAAAATATAACTGTTATTGACATTCAATTTGACGGCATGCCTAACCTTACGTAGAGAATATGAGATATTTTTTCATAATTACGAACAAATAATAATTCTACATACACGTACAATTTCGGTACTAAACACTGCTTTTGGCGTTTAAATTTATTCTAAGGGCGTCCCTGGCTGAGTGGTTAAGGTCTTTGTTTTCCAACAATTTGGGCTATACCGCTGTTTGTTCGAATTCAGCTAGTTCTCGTAACGTCAGTGGTTTTACTCAAATGTCATTTGTTCCTGAAATAACGCTGGAGGGTTACGTGAGGTAGTCTTTCAACCTGTAAAGCTGGAAAGTTGCCGTGCAACCTTTTCCGTGTTGGTGCTACGTAAAGCTTAGTAAATATACATGTACCCAAGCAATTTATAGCATGTTACATTGCAGTTAAAATGCACAGTCTGCTGACATGCGGCCAGATTGGCCATAACGGTACCGACAACATTCCCGTTACAATATAATGACGTCGAATGTGACTCCAGGAACAACGCAACAATGGCAACAACTTGTTCTTCCGCCATAGTACGAAGACTTGGCTCAAAAACAATAAGAAAGGATAATGTGTTATTAATGTAAATATATGTATCTAACAGTATTGATAAAATGAGTTTAATTCGGTATCGGAATGTGTCTTTGGGATTTTGTTTTAACTGTTTATTTTTACAGAACTTAATGCGGGCTTACTATAAAGTAAATACGTCTAGAAAAACCGCATATAAGAATATGAAACAAAAGAAAAACTTAAAAAATGTAATAAAAAGAAAAGTAAAAAGACCCAAGTGAACAACAACAACAAAAGCATTCGTTGATCAAAACAGAAGAAATAAATATTTTGCTTCGTTTTCAAATGGAAAGTATATTTACAAAATTGATGTAATACACTATATTTTTGCAACAATCAAACCAACGAAAGATCGCAGTTTTATTCTTGCTTCTGTCTCTTCTTACAATATTATGATATACTTTGCGTTGTTTAACTGATTCGTTTGTATTGACTACAAATGCTGAATTAACTTTTTAAATCAGAAAATTGTTGAACCACTGTCTGAGTACGTTGACACCACGAAAGCCGACTTTTAGAAAACAAAAGAAATAGATGTAGTTTGCAGAATGTATGATGCCAGAAGTATGCCCTTTTAACTTTTATTTGTTAAGTCATTGCAATGTATAACACAACTTAACAGTTTTAAATGATTTAAAGGTGACCTGGTGATTTTTTTCAAAGAAAGTGACATTTTACTATATAATAAACGAAAATGTCCGTTTTCTTCTGGCACCTTTTGAAAATGACGCGAAACATTATTGTATTTTTCGTTAAAACTATCTTTGGCAAAAGTAAGTTTTTTAATCAAAAAAACATTATAACTGATATTAATAAAAGTAAATAACCGTATAGATATAAAACATGCAGATTATGACATGTCTAGAAATAGATAAGCATAATTCAAACTTGAAGTGAAAAGCAAACAAACAGAAAAAACGTGGTGGACAAGATTTTATTTTCGTTTTTATTGTTTTCTGGTTTTTCAGGAGGAGGTTAATAAAAACTTTATAATCGATTAAAAAATATTTAAATTATCTGTAAAGGTTTCGTGACACTAACACACGAAACACATATTTTGTTAGTAATTCTGTCTTCATTTTACTGATATTTAAATGTTAACATTAATTATGATTAAATGATATTATAAATTTAATATATTAACATATCTCTCAGGGCAATATTGCATATTAGCAACCCTAGAACTAAAATAACATCCGAGGCGATATTACCCGGAGATACATGTTATTTTTATTTATCGAACCAACATTTTAATATTACATGACTGTATTATAGTATAGCTGTGCAGAGCGACCAGGGGAGATAACTAGAGCTAAAACATTACGTTTTCTTAAGTTTATATAGATTACTCGCCCCAGGGGAATATTACAAAAAAATATTGACCAAGTGATATTCGTTAGCAGGATGATAGATCAAAATAACACCATGTGACGTCATATTAGGCTATATACTAGTGAAAAGATACTTATAATAAAAAGACAGGAACGCTTTCCTGTTTAGATTGAACGTCGGGTACGTTTTACCGTCACGGTGTTTCAAATAAAAATATAGTTTGGACTGTACCAAACAGAAATTAATAGGCACGAATCAATAAATGTCTCAGGCGCTTGCATAAATGAGCCTTATATTTTCATAGTTAGCTAAAATATGTGAATGATAACAGCGTTGTGAGTAAAACACAAGGAGTTAGCTACAGTTACTGATAAATTATTAATATATTTATTTCATGTATGAAATAGAGGATATTTGTTTGTTTGTGTGTAAGATGAAATTTTATTTCATCGAGTGGGCTTTAAAAACAGTATTCTCACGAGTGGCGTAGCCACGAGTGAGAATACTGTTTTTAAAGTTCACGAGATGAAATAAAATTACATCTTACACAACAAATAGACAAATTTTCTTTTTATTTTATGCTTAAAAACAAGTTAAAACGAAATTTCCATAATTTTAACGTTAATATTAAAATTTGCTTCCCCCATTGAGAGCCCCATTTAGACGGAATTTCACATTAAAAACAAGAAGTCTTGAGCTGAAAAATAAGTCCGCCAATCAAGGTTAAATGACGGTGATATTTATTCATTTTATTAAAAAAATATGAATGATCGCTTGTTTTAATAATAAAAACAAACAATTCTTGTAGGAGAAAAAGTCCAACCATCCATCCATATTTCTGTTACTTACTGCGAATTTATATTAGACCTGGCTTTGTAAATTGTAAGCGGCAGCCATTTTTTAAAGTTGTGTATTTCATGGGAGGAAAATAATTGTGTAAGATTCAGAGGGATATTATTTGGATTTGTTAGTCATAAACCTTTTTAAAAGAAAGAAAACTTATTTAAGGATTGTAACAGACAAAAAATAAGTGTTGAAAGATGTTAAAACATTCAGAAAAGGAGCTAGGAAAATGGAAAACTTGGAAGCTTGCTCAAGTCAAGAACGCTGGGTTTTTTTTACTTATTTTACGAGTGATGGCTGTCAATGCTTTTCAATTTTTCATAAAGCATACGGCAGTTATTGCTCGTAGGATACTTTAATATTTATGTCATCAAGAGCAGTTTTGCATGGGGAAGGGATGTATTTTTCAGACTGTAAAAACGAAACAAAAAAATTTAGAGACGAAATTTGGTGATTGGAATTTGAAGGAATAGAAGTAAGTTTTCTCTCTGTAATACTTTTGACATTTAAGTTATTTATCTATTTCAGCTTTGTTATTTCTTTTAACAGCCTGACATTGCCAGAATTGTCAGTAAAAATAAAATTGAGGTACCACATGGGGAAAATCTTAAAAAAGTAGTTTCGTCATTGAAAAAAATGAAATTATATTTTGATAATTTTCACTGTGAAATTATCAAATATAATTTTCACGGATAAATCAGTAATCCACTAAAAAGCATAAAAGAAAACCAGTTATTTTTTGTTTTTGTCATATCAGTGAAATGAAATCAATATCACTTACAGTTTATCAATCACAGTATGGGTGATATAGCTTTGTTGGTCTTTTCAAACATAACTTAATACGCAGTAAGAATTGTGCCGTTTTGTTGTTGTTACTGTTTCTGTTGTGCTATAGATTTTTTTTAGTAAACCCTGGCTATCAAATGCTATGATTTCTCATCATTGTTTGAGATTAAAGGTGTCCTTCTAAGATACAAATGCAGCAAGATTTGTATTTTAGTGAGTTTCAGTCGTATAGTATTATACTGATCCCAACTTGGGTTCTCGTACAGAACGTAAAGTAGTATATGTATAAAGTAGAGAAGTATACTTATTGGTCAACATGATGGATTTTTAAAAGCCCATTGTGCCTCAGAAATGTTATCAATTTTACTTCTCAAAAACTTTTATTTTTGGTATTTTGATGCACCTTTTGAAAAAAAAAACTTATTTGCCTTATGTGTAGTTTTTGTCGCTACTTTTGGCAATTGGTGTAATTGTTGTGACTTAGTTTTGTGTATCGAAACAAAAATACTACTTTCTTTACCTTTAAATTTGCTACCTTTGCGATACATTACTTCACGTTCAGGGCTACTTTCTTCAGTCGATAAACATCTTAAATGCTCTAAATCAATTGTAAAACAATTATTAAACAAATGTTTGACATTTTGAAAGAATTAAAAAATAATCAATACATTTCTGTCTGTGTTTCTTAGGAACATTATCGACATCAACAAACCCGTAAATGTACCTATTTTGTTTCATTAAACACGGAAAAGATAAACTATCATTTTGCAAGACATTTTTTCAAGTCAAGGTCTTTCAAGACCCTTTATAGGACCACCGGATGCCTTTTAGTATACACGGCAGTATTCGCCCGTATAATTTTAGTACTCTAAAGTAATTGCCTTCGATAGATTATCGCGCTAAAACGAAAACAAAAAGATAAGAATAAAACAACGAAAAAAACAGAAAAACACATAACGTTCATTTTTTAGACATTAAAGAAATAAACTCATTACCTCAGGGCTGGGAATCAAAACTGCGTCGCACCCTACAAAATGTAAACAAACGCCGCCATCTTGAAACGAAAAAGGTATGTTTTTGTTTATAACTCATTTTGTTGGAAATGACTGAAAATCAAATATATGTATTAACATGCTTCACTTTTTTCCGCTTCGTTCGGTATATGTTGTTTGTACAACTATTTTGTAAAACAAAAGTTATAGCGAACTTGCAACTCGAAGCGGGCCAGAATTGTTATGAAATTTTGTGGATACGACGCAGTTCATATTGCTTTATCAATCGTTTTTACCTTCAAATCAATTATTTACCCCTTTCAGGGTTCACCATAAACTTCAAAATATAATTTTGCATCATGTACTAAAATTTTATTAAAAAGAAATTTTATTTTTTTAAGAAAATAATAATATGTACGAAATGATACGACGCAGTTGAAAATATAATATGATACGACGCAGTTGTAATTTTTGGCAATCTTTTCAACAGGGATAATTTCGGCAATATATGTCTATCTTACTGGATAATCACTTATGCTAGATAAAGAAACTAAGATCATTCGCAGTTTATAGCAATGTTCTGATGCTTTTGATTATTTAGAAAACATTGTGTCATGTCCAATTTACATTGCAGAAGCTACTTTTCAGTAAAACATAAACATGAACATGTTACTTTATTTATCATAATATATGAAATAATTTCTTTTATTTTCTTGTATGTTCAATATTATCCGTATTTTATTTTGGCAAAATATAGAAGTCTATGAATTTGAATCACAAAATTCATTTTGTCTAGCTACGCTCTTAGTAAACTGTGGGTCTGCATGTTCTAGGTGATGACTGCTTTTTGTGGTTTTATTTCAAACTTTCACTGTACACTTTAGTTTTACTGGGGGTAAGGACCTCAGGTGCGCCTTTGTGCATTATTTCAGGCAAAATGTTACACCTGCAGAGAACCATTAGCTTACGAAAGAATCAGAAGTCCCTAGTGGTTTTCAAATTCACAGCAGTTAAGTGCAAGTGATTTGAAGTCAGTAAACATAAACAGCTCGGCCTGTCTGATTTTTTTCCAACAAATTTGTTAACCATGGTCTTAAATGTCAGCCGTACAAGAATAAACTTCTGGCATGAAGTTTTAAGATTACAACTACATGTATTTAATTAATTATAAAGAGAATAACATTTAAATTTCTTGTTAAAATGAAATATTTTCTTACTCTTTAAGATCACTTTTTATTTTGATATTTCGTTTTAAAAAAGGATGTGTCAGTGTTGAGAATACTAGTAGCAGAGAATTTTTCAATGTAAACATGGGGTAATCCTCTTTGAAGACATTTTCTGAAGAAAAAAAAGTTTTATGTGTCAGGCAATTCATTATCAAATAAAAATCACACTTTAATATAAAGGTATGGTAAGAACCTTCTCTTTACTCTGTGGAAAATTCAGTGAGATAATCTGACCTAAGTTTTCTCATCCCGGCTTTAATCTAATATAGGAAAACTTCTTCAATACTATTGAAACATCATGTCGTACATATATCTGTATCAAATTTATCGGTGCAAAGCGTAAAATACCTTTGCAAAACGGACACCTAGCTACTTTACACAATATTTTTTGTTTTATCTTTTGTAACCCGAATTTGAAAATTTAAAGTGTTTTAATGAAGAAGAATGACACTATAGTGCGTATCAAGAAAATACATTCCATAGACCTGTTCTCGTCGTCGATAAAGAAATGCAATACGACAAAATCAGCGGTAAAGTTCCACGGCGCTGAACAAAAAAAGATTGAACGAAACTCATACAGTACTTGCAAAAATATATCGTAGCTTAACCATTTATAATATAAATTTAAAAATTTATTGTTCAGAATAAACGACCATTTTTCCTGATCATGTATTAACCCAATACCTCTGTTTTCATTGAAAGGTCTCTCGTTACAAGTTCAAATTGCTATAAAAACTGCTTCAATACTAATCAACCTTGGCACAAATGTTGACTGGACCATTGCCTTTGTAACAACATGCTCAGACTTAAATTTCCTGTTACCATGGCAACGAGGGGACATCTCAAAATTGCCAAAAATCACTATTTTGCGTTGATTTTTTCCATCAAAATTGATTTCAAAGTGCTGCAACTTCTCAATGGATTGAGATAGAGTCAAAAGCTTTTCAGCGTTGGTTACACGTTACCTTATGATCGATCTGGGGTCATTTTTAGCCTCTCACAAGTCCAAAATTTTCCTGGCGATGAGGGGGACTGCCGCTAAAAGAGGGGGGTGGGGTCGAAAGTGCGTTGTTTCGCGTATATAAGAGGTAAAGGGTTAAAAGAGGATCAAATACCGATTTAAGTTTCAAATTATAAAGCTCATCTGTTCTCATCGATTATTAAGAAAATTAATACAATAAAATCGGCACGTAAAAGACATAAGTAATGACGGATCGAATTGTCGCAATTGTTGTAAATTATACAATAGAAGCCATGCAATTTGCGCATATGAAAAATTTAAGCACCCACATTAGTTTCGAACTCATGGGAACAAGTTTATAGGCATGCTAAGGCAGCACTTAAACACGTATGTTGTCATATGGGTGTGCGATCACGTGTTTCAATGTATTTGATACACCTTTTTCGGAATTTGTAGATGCTAATGTCAGGTGCTAAAAATGCGACCGAAAAATGAAGCCTTAATAGAATTTTCCATTTTCGTGGGACCAATCACGACTTAAGTTGTATAGGTCACTCGTGCGTATTCATGATGATCAAAAATTCGCAAACCTGAAATGTTGTTGGACTTTAATTACTAGCATACTTGAACCAATATGCAGCCTGCAATGAAAATACAACTGCGTCGTATCATATTTTATTTTCAACTGCGTCGTATCATTTCGTATAAATTATTGTTTTCTTAAAAAATAAACATTTCTTTTTAATGAAATCTTAGTACATGATGCAAAATTATATTTTGAAGTTTATGGTGAATTCTGAAATGAATATATAATTAATTTTAAGGAAAAAACGATAGATAAAGCAATATGAACTGCGTCGTATCCACAAAACTTCATAAAAATTCTGCTCCGCTTCGAGTTGCAAGTTCGCTATAACTTTTGTTATACAAAATAGTTGTGCAAGCAACATATACCGAACGAAGCGGAAAATAGTGGATCGTGTTAATACATATATTTGGTTTTCAGTCATTTCCAACAAAAAGAGTTATAAACAAAAATATACCTTTTTCGTTCAAAGATGGCGGCGTTTGTTTACATTTTGTAGGATACGACGCAGTTTTGATTCCCAGCCCTGTACCTGTCTTAGACATATTACTTTTAAATAGTTCAGCTATAAAGAGTTCTACTTAGATAACAATGTATAATGCACTTTCACGAGGCATGTACTTTCTATGCTACTTGATATGATATGTTGTGTATGTTTATTACGGGTAGACAAATATTCAGTGGGATATGCTAAAAATAGAAACAGGATAATATATCAAACTTAAAACGAATGGTGGCAAACAAACAGACAAAATTTAATATGGCGGACAAGATTTTGTTTACGTTTATTTTATGTGCGGGGATTACAAGTAAGAAGTTTATATTAAAATCTATTTTATATTGTTAAGAATTTTTTACTCATTACCGGTTTAGGGGGAATTAAAGGAGGTTGAAACAAAACATATTTTTTAAAATATGCACCTTAATTTTATAGATATATCAAGATCTACACGGTTACTTATATATACCAGCTATCACATGTAAATATTTATCATAAATTAAATTGGATGATGTCGTCGAGTTTAAAATTAAATTAACAGCTGTCGGAAGGTAATCCCACTACATGTATCAAATAATGTGGCAACAATAGTTTTGTAATAAGCTATCAGTTTTAAATAATGTCAAATTATATAATACTCGTCAAGGATAGGCACGACCTATATCGTAGGCTTTTATGTGACGTCATGTTTTTGTTTTTAAACTGCGAGGGACAGTAGTTTGTGTAGCGATTCTTATATAATTATTTGTCAGTTATCGTCGTACAGTAAATGGTATTCCATAAATTACTGGAGTGCTATGTACAATGAGTGAAAAACTGCATTAATAAGTGAAATATCGAAAGTGAATGAATGGTGAACATTGAGATATATATGAAGACTCTATTATGAGGGAATAAAAAACAAATCAGTGTTAGTATTCTGGTTTGCTATTGCTAAGTACACTGCTGTAACACCTATATATTTGTAGAGACGCTGTATAAGTATGGTGGCTGATTTGTGTTATCTCGTATGTTTCTTTAACACAATAAAGTGAATATAACGTAGGAGCAATATTTAACGAAATCCTAATAGTATCAAATCAAATTAAATAAGATATTGGTTATAACACGAATCAAAAGGCGTAGTTGCGGTTGCGAATAGATTATATTTATAACGTCATTTAAATTACATGTATTTTCAATAGGTGTTTATTAATGACAACCTGTCTAGAGTATTGGAAGCGACGTTTGTGTCTCTTCAAAATAATCAATACAGTTTACAATACAGTATTATATTACATTATTGTTTTTGATAAACTTTATACAGGCCTGAGACATTTGTCAAACAATCATTGTCATATGATATTGAAACAGTACAGCGAATGTTATTTCGCATTTTGTAAGGAAGTCAAAATACTATTTCCGTTACATTTTGCTACTTATATTACATATAATTTTACATTTTTACATATTTTTTTTCAGGTAACAGGCATTCAATATACTGTAAAACTATAATTTAAATATCAATAAAGTCATGTAGCAAGATAATTTTCTTTTCTTTCTTTGATCTTACAGCAGACCTGTGTAAAATTTACAACACCAGAGTACGACAATTTTATTGCTATTGATTTAAACGACACTTTAGATTTGACCCACTTTTACATAAATGCAGGAAGAAAAATTCATAAACTGTTTAAAATGAATATTGACACGCGGCTATATACAGTAAACTTCACTTATAGCGAACACGGTTATAGCGAACTTCCGGTTATAGGGAACAATCTATTTTGGCCCGAATTTTGGCCTTCTTTATTTAATATAAAAATATATGGTTATAGCGAACACGGTTATAAGGAATTATCGCTTATAAGGAACTCATTTCTTAGTCCCAATTTAGTTAATAATACAGAAAATTACACTATAAAACGATCTCCGAAATATTGTCTATCCGTAAATAGATCCCGCATTTTCAACGCACGGATTAAAACTCGGGCGAATGTAATGTTTATCGTTGTATGTACTTCAATACATCCATTCAAATGAATTTGTATAGTTTTCTATTTTGGATATTTTTAGCATGAGCTCTTTTCACCAAGATAAAACGGTTATTTATTTACTTTCTTCAATAGTTTTGCTCGAGTAAAATAATTATAATAATTTATAATCGGTTTTCAACATAAACTGCATGCTTGCAAGCATGATCCATTGCAAACTGCAAAGTACGCTTGATTTAAATGAAAAGAAATCTATATCTTACATTAGTAAAAGTCACCCTTAAATTATAATAGAAGATATTCAATATAAAAGGAAGAAAAAATCGAAAATCTTGTTTATTCTCAATCATGGAAAGAAAACGAAAATAGTTTAGAAACAAAATATTATATTTTATGTGAAATTGAGATAAGGAGTAAAACTAAAACTGAAATAGCAATGATTTTCGAATTCCAAAAAGTACGCTCTCGGGTAGTGTGTCTAAAATATAAATAGATGACTAATATTTCTATTTCTTAATCAAATTATCTTCAAAAATGGCGGACAATGGTAAACAATCAGTTCGTTATACTAGTATGTAAATCTGTTCGCTATAAAAACTCCTGATACAACGAACTTATTCGCTATATGCTAACAAGGAACTCCGGATATAAGGAACTGGTTTTGAATGTCCCAGTGAGTTCGTTATAAGCGGAGTTTACTGTACATTGTTTACGTTCCAATGCGAATGTTCGATCAAAATAATTCGATATGTCAGTACTGGGATCCTACATATTACCGGATAAAATATGATGTAACTTTTATTAAGAATGGAATTTTACACAAATAATTTTGAGTTCTTAATACAAGTAAACATTACTTTAACAAATATGAAAATAAACATTTGACCGCGTGAATGTGTCTTTCAACTAGGTCATTTTAAGAGAATAATAATCGTGTAGACAGCTCAAATTACCGGACATTGTGTTTCAAAATTTGTTGAGGTCCTGAATTGAAATTAATCTTTAAATAATCAGCAAGGAAACTACGACGATTGAAAGGCAAGGTTAAGATAATGGAAAAATCAGTATGTCACTAAAACAAGACACGGCAGCCATACTTGTTACGAAGAATTAACTCAATTAACGTATTCATTCTTCATGATCCTTAAACGTATGACACACTTTGATATTCAAATGGAATTCTGTTCTTTGTCATACAGTTTCCTTTTGGTCATCATGTAGCATGTTGCAAAAGTCATAAAGTCTATTTTTTGTACACTTCATGTAGAGTTTCTTCCAATGGGCGTAACGCGTTTACTTGTATGTTTTTTTTAATTTGCATTTCCTTGTTAAAGACAACAACGAGATATTGTTTGAACTAAACTTAAAATTACGTTTTATCATTAAAATATGTAACGATTGTCTCCAGAAATAACTTTGAGGAGAATAACAAAAGTAAAAACCTATCTAAACTTTGAGAAGAATAACAAAAGTAAAACCTATCTAAAATAACCCATTAAAGGTCTCTATATTCGGGCATGCGCAGAACAGATTATTCCCCCGCATGACCAGGTCATTATATAACTAGTAAACAAATGGGTATGTTAGTAAATAAAGAACTGAATCGACAATATTCGCCTGACAGTGGTTTTCTTCTTATTTATTTTGAAATAGAAGGTGTGTGTACGATTCAGACCGAATGATTTTTGAATCGAAGCAAAAAAATAAAGCCTTACTAGACAGGAATAGATTTTGTCCGGTAAACTGATTGTCCGGTAAACATGTAGGATCCCAGTATAGTCTAAATAACCATTATAAGTTTTCGCGCTGTCTAGTCGAAGTACTGTGCCAATAGCTAGCGTCCGTGTCCTTAATATTCAAATAAGACATTTTCAGTAAGATTTTTCCAGATTTCAATATAGTTTTGCAAGACAAGTATTTTACCTATACATGATCGTAGTATATCTTTAAGCACAATCTTATTTCACGTTTAATGAAAGCTTAATATTATTATTACTTTTATTTTTATTATAATTATTTCTTATTTATCTTTTATTGGTTTTCAGGTTCATTTGCGGGAACATACTGCTACAACCATGACGATTCATTTTGGTGTGACGAAGGCTGTTGTGGAAGTTATGGTGATAAATACTGCTGTGCAAACGAGTCTGACGGCGCGTACGAGTCTGACGACATGTAATGTTGTTCTTTTTATGTTAGAATTAATTTGTCAAAATCATTCATTTTAAAACAATAACCATTAAAAAATCATTGTTTCAAGCTTAATCTTAAACTAAAGATACTAATGTATGTAAATGTAAAACAAAGAGTTTTCTTCCACTTTCTTAAAAATATTTGTTATGCTCTGCCTAATCAATCACGTGTAAGTTTATCTTATGCTCAACATAGATGAAATGTATGACCTAACTTATCTATTCCATACACGATTTTGAAACATTTTCTTCTAACACAATGTTGTATGTTTTATTTATAGGCTATTTTTATATTATATTTATATGTTATATTTTAGAAAGATCGCTACAAATCTATATATTAGGTCTTCAAAGTTAAATTGCCTGTCTGTTTGCTTCCGAGAAGCATTGGAGAATTTCGTAGGAAAATTACATTTCACCATTGATATACAAAAATTAAAGAAAAGAAAAGAAAAAGAGAAGAGAACAGGTGAAAACCACCCTCCCAAAATTAAGATGTTTAATTCCAAGCATTAGATATACACAGCAAATATCTTAAATATAGTGAATGGTTTTCTGTTTCAGTGTCGAGGTAATTATTGGCATTGTTATAGGTTGCATAATCTTTGTCGTTCTTGTTGTGTCAGTGGTGGTGGCCATATGCTGTTGTTGTCGTAAAACAAGAGGACGTACCGGACAGGTGTGTCAACCGGCTACAGCTCAAACAACTACAAGTATATAGATAATTGTTTATGTTTAATATTTCATTATATTGTCATCTACAAAATGCCAGTTTTTAAATGATTTGTATGCACATGAATTGCACATAATGCAATAACTATTTAGGAGATGAATAACATCATTTATAGGAAGAGGTTTTTGAATAGTGTCATGTGTACACACTGTAATAACGTTAAAGTTGTTATCCCCGTATAACAAAATTTACGGAGAACTCACAAAAGATTCGTCAGTCAACCGATTGCGCTTTTCTTTCATTTATTTTTTTAAATTTAAGTATTTTTATTTATTTATTTATTTATGTTACTATTTTATTCTATTGTATTTTTCTTCTTTATTTTATTACTTTTTGAAGTTGTGCCTGTAAAAAATGTTTGTAACCCATGACTAGCTTGCAACACTCATCCAAATTATTTTAAATTACGACACATTTCAGGAATTTACTTTTAAATGCTAGGTATATAGCTCACAACAAAACCATTGTATTCTTTTGTGAAGATCAGCTTAACCTGTGACTATTCAATACCCCAGTGAAGTCAGCCAATTTGCATTAAAATGCGTATTTTGTTAAGGTCCATTAAGCGGGAGTCTCGTGAAATTAAATCTGTAAACTGTTTACCACGGTCCCTTCAAAAAACAGAAAATGGTATTTTGCTTTGTTTTGTGATAAGGATGTTTATTAATTGCATACACACTTCTTTAAATAAATTGTTAACAGTCTGTGCCATTCTACATTTTAGTTCAAATGCACAGTCCCCTGCCGTATGGACAGGTAGGATATAACGGCGCCATTAACATGCCTGTTACAATAATGACGTCAAACGTGACTCCAGGAACAACGCAACAATGGCAACAGCCGGTGGCTCCGCCAAAGTACGAAGACATTGCTCCGAAACAATGAGCAGAAAGACGTATAACAAAACGAAATATAGAACATTATCTGACATTGTTGAAGATTTTCGAATTTACATTTTTACTATTTGATGTCTTATTTGTTTTCGTCATGCGTTCTAACTATCGATTAATACGTTTTAGGTGTGTGCCATTACACGTAACAAATATACATTGTGATAAGAGAAGGAAAAACCTACAACTTCATCTAAAATGAACTTTGTTAAAATACAGAAAATAAATTATTTTGGTTTCCTTAGTTGCGGTTTTATTCTTCGTTATATAATTAAAACGTTTTATATATCGTTTTGTTTAACAGATATATTTATTTCTGTTTTCTATGTAAAGTTGATTGAAATTTGTTTTTCTTAAAGAAATGCACCATTTATATGTTTTCTTCTACTTTCGCACAATGGAGTATTGCCTTTGGCATTTTGCCATTACAATTTCAAAAAGCACAATGAAATTAAAGTCAAACAGCTGTAAGAAAGAGCGTTGAGTCATCAGCATTGTAGAGTTATTAGTTGAAAAAGCAATAAAATTAGTTGAGCTCAACATCCCGGCTGCAATTATGATCTCAACCCGGACGAGGTCCCAACAAAGTACAAAGACTCGGCTATGAAAAAATTTTGCGATACAGAATATATATAGTGAGATTAGTATTGTTATTAGGTGTATAAAAACACACTTTAAGTTTGAAAATTTTACCGATAACTGAATACTAGTATATCTGCAATGATGTGTTGCCTTGTAAGTTGTAATAGAAACAGAAATAATAATAAGAAATATTATATAAAAAGACAGGGTAGTTTTGAAATGTTGAAATGAAATATCTTCAATTTTGTATATCCAAAGATAAATTGTAATAAGAGTTCGTTCAATTAAAAAATTAGTCCACTGATTTTCATTGCGAGATTCATTGAACAAATTTTAGTTTTATGTTAAAGTGATAATTCATTATATTGATTTAATTTCAAACAACAGACGGACTTCCACTGTTATTACCAATTTGAAAAACGGAATTTGCTACTTTTTTATGCTTTTACGGTGAAAATTTCGAGCCTGAGAAGGAAATGTACACATACATTACTCACAATTTAAATGTACAGTACTGTGCTATAAGTACTAAGGCTATAAACAACAACAAATCATTTTCTTTCAGCAGTAGTTACTATTCTTTTCGCATCAATTACCGATCAATAATCAATCGAAGCTAAAATTATCAGTTTTACACATGGCTGCATAAGAATAAATGAATGCGCTTGAATTTATCACTAGCGATAAAAAATAAAATCTAAATTACAAATTTCACACGCATTGTAAGAGCTAGGTGTATACGATCTGCAATGACACGAGACGGTCGCGTCTTCTTCTGCAGCAGTTTATTCAGGGTACATACTGTAGTCAATATTCTATTCTAAAAATAGCAACAGTGTAATGTGATCAACAGACGACAAACATGGAAGATAACATTTTATTTACGTTTATTTTGTTTGCAGGATTTACAAGTAAGTAGTTTAAATGTGTTTTATAACTTTTAAACATAAAATGTTAAATTGATACCTAGTCGTTGAGAGAGAAATAAAACACTTCATTTGTTATCAAATTTACACCATACATTTTTCTTCAATGCTGATTACCTGTAGATTTTACAAGCTAGATACAAATTAAGTCTTTGCTCATTAGTAGTATTGATGATTCATATCCCTGAAATTTTCTCCATAATAATCAATATCGCCGATAATAATCATATTCGAGTGACTCGAAGAATAAAAAAAAAACAACAACAAAGGGCTTCTTTAAAAAGGACAAATTTTATAATGTTTAGATAATCATTGATTTAGATAATGTTACTTTAAATGCGTGTTACCTGAAAACAGTAGCGATGTATGTAAACTAATTTGTGATAAAAGTATCAAAATGTAAACAGAGTAGTATTTTGTCTTTAAGTTCCATAAAATAATTAATAGCCAACACAATTAATGAGGAATGTTTTACCATTCGGTATTTTCTTTGTCCGTAGGTACATTTGCGTCACATGACTGGGGGTAAGTCGAACCTTTTTGTCCAAAAATAGAACGCGTTTTAACAGCGTAAAATATTTTTTAAAAATACAAGTATATATTAAAGTTTAATTCAAAATTCATAGACAATACAATTTCTTATCGTAGTGTAAGGTTTAAAGTTTGTCAAGTTAATGCATGTGTGAATGCTTTTAATTAGATATTTCTATCAGTCACGTGATATAATAGCAGGTCTAGATTTATTTCAAGTTTGTTTTTTTTTAAATATTTTCTACTCAAAAGGCTATTTCTATATTTTTTTAGGGTCAGTGATGAACATTTTTATATCAGGTTTCACTAATAAGTGGTACATGTATGTTTTTTGCCAAAGTATGGTTTTTGAAAATTATAGGATGAAAGCTTTAGGAAATCATTTCGTCACAGCTAAATACATAATAAAACCCAAAATAAACCAACAAAATTATAAAGATGGAGGGAAAGACAAATACACACACCGTATATTCTGCATTAAGCTTAGCTGTTTTTTTATGTACTACGGTTATTTCTTTGTTTTTAAACATTTCAGGCTTGACCCTTTCGTTGGTTTTCTAATAGGCGTGATAGTATTTTTCGTCATCATTGTTGTAGTAACTGTTGCCGTATGCGTGTATTGCCGCAGAACAAGAGGACACACTGGGCAAGTGTGCCAACCGGCTCCACCTCAAAGAACTACAAGTATGTTTATCATTTTTATCAATAATCCTATTGTCGTATTATATATAAGAAATATCAATTTAAATCTTTTTTTAATTGAACTCGTTTCAACTGGATATGAAGTAAATGTTAAAGTTGAAAAACTGCATATGCCAATGTTTCCATTACTTCAAAGTAAACTCTTGTCATACACGTTGCCAATTAACGTAAATCTAGAGTCTAAGATAAAACAAGTCCCGTTCAAAATAATAAAGACGTTCGAGGTATCAGTAAAAGAAAGAAATACACGACAGCTTGTACGTATAGACATGCAATTTTGGTACAGTGTACTGCTTTTATGACAATGATATTTTATGCAATTAAATTAATATTTTCTTGTGACGGTTTTTATCAGCAATAGGTACGTTATTACCAATACAATATTAAATATATTCGTAGATTTGATAACTTTTAATAATTTGTAAGAACTTACGTATCTTATAAATGTTTCATTTCAGTTCATATCCACAGTCCGCTGCCTTGCGGACAGACTGGCTATAATGGTACCGTAAACAGTCCGGTTGTAATAATGACGTCAAACGTGACGCCAGGAACAACGCAACAAATGTTGAAGCCGGTGGCCCCATTGCCTCCAGAACAACGAGAAGAAAGACGTGTGATGAAATAGATATATAAGTTATCTGACATTGAAAACATGTTTGATGTTATTGTTTTATTAAATGCCCTATAATTATCTGTCACGAGACATGCATAAAACATTAAACATCAAATGTCATTGTAATATTTTTATAAAAACAGTTTCATGAAGTTTATGTCAGAATACCAGAATAATGCTGAAACTAACTGACACAATTTGTCTGACTCTGTTGCAAATAAGCCTTAAGATTAGTTTGGAGGTTCTTTTTTTTTACAGCAATAATTATAAGGCCGAAAACTATAAGCTAAGATCAATGGCCGGGAGAGTCACTCGTTACATCATGTTTGATTTTTGAATAGGCAATTTGTTCTTTATCTTTGTTGACTATAGAAACATCTACAGGTGTTCAAAGTGTAGTTATCATGAAGCTTTTAACGTGTTATTAAAGTGCCATTCCATTTAACGAAGTGTATAGTCCTCAAATGCGTGTATCATAAACGAAAAAAAAATAACAGATGGGGAAACTAAATTTTGAAAGGGGATCAAAAGTTAATAGTGAGAAATAAACACTCCGTAAAGAACGGTCAAAACGACAAAACAGGCTCGTTTTGATAGTGCCTGTTCATGGACGGTACTGTAAATTGCTAGCTAACGTCCGCGGCCGCTACCACTGGCTTATACGGAATTCAACATTATAACCCATGAAATGGTAAAATTGTGAATTTAGAATCATCCGCAGGTGTGCCTACATATCTTGAACAAGCTGACGAAAGGCAGTTATACCGCAAGTGTATTAGTAATGCGACGACTTTCAAATATTGCTGCTGGAGGAAGACATCAGGTGTCCCTCATAGCACCATTTCAGGCACTAGCAATGCAATATCTTGTGGTACAAGAAAATATTCACAAAGACACCAACGTTGTATTGAGTGCTGCGGCAAACTTTTCAGGTTTTTTCTTATCTGACGCCGGCAGGCTAATGACGCTGTTATACCGTGTAGACTTTGTCTGTGGACATCATTAATCTGGTCATCTGAGTAAAATTCACAGAACCTGTTGTAATTTTGTTCGCTGTTTCTCAAATACTTCTTTTGTCAGTCAAGGACATTTGACAAAATTTTCTCTTGCAAGTATTTCACCCACATAAACACTCGTGTGCCTTCAACAACAGTTTGAATTCAATTGACTATATTTCAAAACGAAGATGGTAGTGTAATGTCATTTGATTCCCTCCAAAGATGTAAAATTATTGTATGAACTTCTTTTATTTGTATTTTTCTCATAAGCCTGTGCACATAACTATAAATAAATACAAACTAAACCATGTTAGTGTTGTGTTAATTCTAAAAATACACAAATACTTGAGAGTGATCTTGGTTTTCCTGTCATCATCGGCAATATTTTCTAAAATAAGAAAGGTCAAGGGATTTTTCGAAGCTGACATTTTAAACCCGGTCAAACATTTTATGAAAAACGAAAAGATGTCCAAAATTACCTGTTAGTACACCAAGTCAATGGATAGTTAGAAATGTCTCATATATGTGATGTGTAAATATACGAGGGTGAATCAATAAATTCGTAAACTAATTCACTAGCGGGGAAATGATTTAATTCAAGTACCTAAAATGAATACTCCTTCTCGAAGAAACGTCCCATGCACGATTTGCACTTGTCCCATCGCTCGACCCATGACTCGAACACGTATTGTAGCCCGTCACATGAATCTCCCGCAGCTGCCTGTCCACGGCACACCTCAGTTCCTCTCTTGACTCAAATTTCGTACCACGAATACTGTTTTTTTTTAAGTTGGAAGCAGCCAGATGTCGGAAATTGCTAGGACCGGGGATGTAGGGTGGTTGCGTAACAGTTCGACATCGAGTTTTTCTAGTGTATCCATGACAACGAGGCTTGAATGACTCGGCGCGTTGTCGTGATGTAATATAAATCCGGACCTAGGTAGATGTAGGCACTTTCTCCTTATTGCCGCCATGAGTTTCGTTCTAAGTAAAGTTGCATATTAATTTCCAGTGACTGTCGTTTTCGGAGGAACAAAGTGGTTTAGAACTACACCGTATGTATCACAGAATATTATGGCCATAACCTCCCCGACTGACTTGGAAATAATCGCTTTTGTAGGGGAAGGATCGTTCCAGACAGAATTCTGACGTTTGCTTTCCGTTCAAAACAAGTGAATATACATTTCATTACTTGTTATCACTCGATTAGAAAGTAATCGCCTTCTGAACGATACCTACTGTCGTACTGCTGACACATTATCACCCTTATCCCCATCTGCTCCGAGGTCAACAAACGAGGCACGCATCTTGCTGAAACGTGGCGAATTCATGTTATATCAGTCATACTGCCCTGAGCTGTACCACATGAAATAGCGAACTTATCTGCTACGTGCTCAACACTTACTCGTCTATCTCGGAGTATGTACTCCTGAATGGCAGCCACTGTTTCTCCATCTGTTACCGTCTCTAGTCAACCTGCACGACTGTCCTCTGCAGTTGCTTCTCTACCGTCTTTTAACCGCTTCATCCAGTTTGAAATCGCACCTTTTGACAGGGCAGGCTCTCCGTAAACCTTTTGCAAATCTTCTCGAATATCGGAAAAAGACTTTCCGAGTTTTGTGTTAAACTTTATAATGATGCGCTGTTCGTTGACGCTGTGTGACGTTATTTACGGATTATGACGTCATAAGTGATGACGTCAAAGTTGTGTACATAGTACGATTCAATTTTAAATAATTTGTTTTCACAGCACTTAAAGTGTCATTTTAAACGGACCAGCAGTTTTGACGCTATTGAATTAGTTTACGAATTTATTGATGCACCCTCGTACCAACATAGTGTATAAGCTAAATGTAGTAATCGGTCCGTTTTAGATTTCTGTCATTAATCAGTCTGCATAACACTTGCGCCATTAATACACCTTGTGATATCGTTTTTAAAAAGTCGGAGACACCTTTTATTTGTTAAAATCATATTTACTCAAAATAAACAGATATGCACAACTTCTGACAAACTATCAACTTTTAAAGCGATACTAGAATATCACATTTATTGGCGCATCACAAAGTTTCGGCCTTATAAAATATGAATGTTTACTGCTCCTTTGAAAATTATGTTTTACTGGTCCATATTTGGCATTTTATATGCACGAAATAATACATTTTAGGCTGGCTTTTACAAAATAGCCTTTTGTGAATGGGTTAATTCAAAATTGTCCATTGAATATACAAGTACGTTCTCGTGTTATTTTTTTCTCAAAATTTATCATTTAACTCGCCAACACATACTACATGAATGTAATTTAATAATCGGATTCAAAAGATAAGTTATTCAAAAATCATGTAATTGTTTAAATTATAAATTTTGCAGTACTCGGTTCCATGAATTAAAATTCATACCATATGTCAGAATAATCATACAGTTTCACTGTAGATAGTTTTTTTGTTACAACGAGTCAGCGATACACTGAAGTGTATCAGATTTCAATGTACAGTTTCATTTATAAACCTGTTGCTGGGAGTATAAAATATGTATACATGTTTAAAGGTCAAATCGTTTAAGCTAGCAAATATGCGCGTTTTGAGAGAGATTTTACATCAGTTAGGAGAGACACGCTGATAGTGTGTAGCGGTTATTTTTTATTGGGAAGAGAATTTTGTAGTTTTGAAGAGAATTTTGTTGTTTTGAAGTCAGTTTTGTTGGTTTGTTGAAGTGGTTGAATATAATTGTGGTGATCTTAATTGATCAGGGTTTATTGGTTGTAATTAGTTGTTTTGGTTGTTGAGTTATTTCTATTTGTGAAGATATAATTGGTTGATATTGGTTGAATGTTTGGTATTGTCAAGATTATATTAGTTGCTGCTTTGTTTTGAGGATATATGTAAATATTGGTTGCTTTAGTTTAAGTTGTTTTCTGATGCTGATTAGATTGTGTGAAGTTAATATTGTTGGATGAATGTTTGCGGTTTATACTGTATCTTAGAGTTGTAAAAATATTCATTTTTGTGTTCTTCATTTTGTGGTGATTTTATTGTTTTGTTAATCATAAGTTGTTTAGAGCTTGGGCTCGCCAGGTGTCTTGTTTTGTTTCGTATAAAAGACGTATACGTGGAAAGATATTTCGTATAAGTGGCTGATAAATGATGTTTGTTTGTTTTGGGTGTAAATAATGATCACAGTTCTGTGTTTTGGGTGTAAATAATAGTCAGAGTTTGTTGTTTACATGTATATATTGATTTGAGATAGAAAAAGATAAAAATACCTAAAAAAGATAGTGTTAACTAAACAATTACATGCTAGTTTTCCAACTGAGAATATTTCACTTTTATGTCAGGCGGTGCTGCCCAGCCTCCATATCTTGGAAATTGGTTCAAGTATTTATTACTAAATCTTTTCTTAGATTAAATAACATCAAGGCAGACATTTCTCCTGACACCCAATTGCAAATTCTGCCGAAAAAGCAAACTACTGTTCTACCCGCAACCCGCTGTTCTACTCGTAACTGGTTAACGGGTGTGTTATTACGGGTAAATAATCAGTATGATCGATACGTTATAAATAGAGAGCGTAATGTAACATTGTGAAACATACACACATGGATGACAAGTTTTTATTTACATTTTTGTTGTTTGTGGGATTTACAAGTAAGAAATGTTATGTATTAGATCTATTTTTTTATCTTTTAAACTGAATATATCTAAAAGGCTAGATTGCGAACTTGGCCTGAGTTAGAATAGCATAGTCTAGATGCACAAAATGGAGATGTTGTGAAGAATATTTAATTAGATCAGTTATCATGTAAACACTGAATTTCATAAAGTTATTGATTTATTAAATATTATGTAATACAAAGTGAATGATGACGTCATGTAAATCAATAATAAGTGGTGTATTGCAAGGTAAATGCATTCAGTGCTGTTTATTAATGTAGTGTCCCTGGCATGTAAATTGGTTATATGAGACTTGTAAGTTTGTTTATTTTTAGCTCGTCTGCTCAAAGAAAAAGTCGAGCTATTATAATCGCTGTGTCGCCGTCATCGTTGCCGTCCACAGGTGTACGGCGCGTTGATTGGTCACCACCCCTTTGCCCACTATAGAACCCTACTACCTCTCCTACTAACCGGTTATTTTCACAAAACCCAGTAGGTCGCTGTCGACTTACACTTTCGGTGACTTCGAAATAACGTATCTTTTTTATTTATTTTTTTTTAATGGAAATTAAATAAAAGCACAGTTTTATATCAAATATTAAAACATTTTTCAAATGAAAATACTGCAGTTGACATGATTTTGGAGAGGTATATGAGGTTTGCAGAGTGGGTTAAGGGGTAGGCGGGTGCGTGCGAAGTGGCCAATCAATGCGCCGGACACTTGTGTTGCTGTCGTGCAAAAACTTAATACAGTCCGATATGAAACTTGGAATGCTTGCTCAGCACGCAAGAGATAGTAGTAAAACAATGGACAATTATTCTAAAACCTCTATTTTAAGTAATGCCAAAGTTTATACTTTATGTTTAAATTGCCTATTGAATACAATGATTATCAAACTATAAACTAAAAATCATTCAACATGAGTTTGAAATATTTGGTTATCTGAACAAGATACAGTTATTGGACACGGGGTATTATTCTTATATCTATATTTTTGGAGTTTTTCCCCTTTTCAGACCATTGTTAAAATGATTATTAAGTTTGATGATTTCAAAACTATGAAATTTATCAACATGAAACTTGAAACTATTGATGATCATAACAGGGCGCAGTTATAAAACAAATAACATTATAATTCAGAATACAGATATGACCCTTTGTTAACTTAACATTTTGTCATAGTTACCTTTTAAATAGAATGATTTCAAAAGTATTGAATCTTGAAAAAGACTTGCTAGAAATCAAGCACAATGATAGTTCCATGTCATCTTAAGTATGATACAATCTTAGAAATTCATTTTTCCTTCAGTTTGCATACATATTTAGAGTTATAAATCAAGCTAATGTGTCTTTCTCTTAATACTATTTAGAGTGTTACGAATTAAATACGATGATTAATTAAAATGCGCATATTTTAGATAAATATACAACATTGTAGGAAGGCAATACATTGTATTTTTATTAGTCATTTATCGGTTTAACCGGAGGGGTCTTTAGGTATACCCTCCGTTCGTCCGTCAGTCCGTTTGTCCACAAAACTGGAACCAGCAATAACGAAATAAGTACATTTCTTCCTATGTTGAAAATTCTATCGCAACAAATAGACTGAAAATATGGCAAATTTTACACATAAACTGGATCAAATGATAACGCAAACAGTACTGGAAATATATAAATGAAACTTAAAATATGACTAGATGGCAGTCTGGAGATTATGCACGTGTTTTTAGTTTCTGTCTATGTTGAAAATTCTAGTTGCTAGGACAACAAATAGACTGATATGGCAAATTTTACACATAAACTGGATCTAGTTCTAATGCAAAAAGTACTGAAAATATTTTTTTATGAAACTCGAAATAAGGATAGATGGCAGTCTGGAGATTATGCATGGCTTTTTATTTTATTCCTAATGTTGGAAAAAATGGTTGGCATGGCAACAAATAGGCTTAAAACATGGCAAATATAACAATATTTGTGATCAGTCTGAAAAAGCTGAAAATATTTATGAAACTTAAAATATGGATAGATGTCAGTATGGAAATTATACATATCATTTTAATCTTGACTATAGGGAGTATATTGAGAGCTGTCACACTTACCAAACGTCGGTAACCTCGTCAATATTTCTGATTCTAGTTTTTAGGCTTTTTTTAGACACAAATTTTAATGAGGTAAACTAAACAGAGTGTGTTGAAGTAAGTTTATGATCGAAAAAAAAATTCCGATTATCAGAATGAAGTATAGAATACCTGTAGACACGCGATTATAAACAAATTCGAAACATCATCAACAGTATAACAATTATCATGTCAGTCTCATAATTTTAGCCCGACTTTTTCGAAGAAACAAAGAGATTTTGCTGCAGTCACGTTGTTCTTGCCATCCGAAAACATTATCGTTGGTCATACATTTTTTTTTTATTTCTAAACAGATTGCCTCCATACTTAGATGCAACAATCCTTTAGACAAGCTCTTCAAGTTGACAAGACTAAACTTGACCTTCACAAGTAAATAACATTTTGATTATGCGTGTGCCTCCTGGTATTAAGGGTTGAGTCAAAATCTAAAAAATAGACTTCAGGCCACACAGAATAAGATGGTGAGGTTTATACTTGATCTCAGTCCCCGTACTCATATAGGGAGGGCTCATTTTGAGGAAGTTGGTTACCAGTGCATCTGAGGGTAAATTTCCTTATTCTTGGTCATATATATATGATACACAACAATAGTGCACCTAGTTATTAAAATGAGCATTTTCAAATTGTAAATGAGGTACACTCTTACTCCACTCTTACTCCACTAGATTTAGTAACAGTTATTTTAATTCTAATTAGGCTTATGCCTTCTTTTTGTGTCATCCTTGGTATTGAATATATGGCATCAACACATGCAATTTCATGTTCACATGTATCTCTTGATGCTGATATTGAATTTGTTTCTGTTTTATGACATGTATTTTTACCAGAATAAAGCAATCCATCTATCTTTAAACCTTATGGCAACACCGACATGCTAAATAATTCTAATATGACCTTAAATTGACCTATTCTTGTTGGAGTTTGCTTCAATTATCATCGCTTTATTTATTTACAATTTAATTTAAACTTCGACAAATAAACACATATGACAAAATTGACATATGAAATCATCTGATTTGACCTTTCTCTTGAGATTGACTGTCAAGATCAAAATATTGAAATTTGTTTGAATTTTTTTAACTTTGATATTTTTACGGATAAGATATATACTTGAACAAAGGAACGCGTATGACTAAACAGACATGTTAAATTAATCATGACCTTGACCTTTAATTAACCTGACCTTTAAGGTCAAATTATTGAAATTTGCTTAAATTATAATTATTATTTTTTTTAATTTATTTACAGATTTGATTCATACATGAACTAAAGAACAGTTCTGACAAAATAGACATGTTGAATTATTCTGTCTGAGTGATATAAACCTGAATTCTAATTGACCTTCAAATTCAAATTATTGAAATTTACTTCAATATTCATAACTTTATTATGTACTCGTATATTTATGGATTTTCTTCATTTTTTTAACAACAAAACTTGATGAAGATTCATTCAAATGTGATCTTGACCGTCAAGGTCAAGTATTAAGTTTGAAAAGATAGTAAAGTTTTTTAGGAGTATTCTTTACTGCTATATACTTCCTTAATGCAGGCGTCACACTGTCCCGAATTTGGCAACAGATGGACACACGAATAAGGAAATGTTCAAATTCGGATCTGATCGTAATAACACCGTGTCATTCGTGAGGGCATCTTTTGCCATCGTATGATCCTCGGCTGAATATTACAAGCTCCGGCAGCAACTTCGTGAGCGGTTACAAAATCTTTGGCATGCCAAAAAATTGCCCGAAGGCATTGCGAAGGTTCATTTAAGTGTTGAATTCGTATGTCAATTTTGCCCTTCGTAAGGCCGTCGTGAGGCCATCTTGTCGAATCGTGTAGTCTTTGTCTTTTCTATGTGTGATTATCGGTGCAATCTAGCATTCTTTGCCTCAATAAGACAATACGAAGTAAACACGAAGATTCCCGATCGTCTAAAAAAGGGAACACGACTACGTGAAGCCCCCGCAATACTGTCGTGTCACCATCGTATTTTGGTACGATGTCATCGAGATGGTACCAGTATGAGGCCGAAGAAAGCAATTTTCAGTGACTCAAGCGTTGCATGTTTATCATGGTGCATGGACATATAAACGGCTAGACCATCTTCCTCATCTGTCACTCTTTCACATCTCTTTAGAGACATCAAAAGCTTCCATTATTTGTAATTAATTTACAATTATTTTCAGTTTATTTCCTGCAGAATTACATGCTTTGATGATGAGTCAACCGAGAAAAAGAAGGCAGCATTGCTACTTTTAAGACACCTTAGAAACATAAAGAGGTCCAGAGGCCCACTTTGGGTGGTATGATAAAGTTTTATCAAATATGATAAATAATATCAACAAAGAAAGGCAACGATCAATGAACGCAACCCCCACAAAACCAAGCAAAAAGAACCAAGTAACACAAAAAGACCCCCCCCCCCCCGAAAAACGGACAGGGCGCAAGGTAGAGCACGGATAGGCTTATCACTTAAATGATACATAAGACGAAATAATGGTAAACGACAATGAAATCAAATAAAACAAATAAATGATTGATTTATTAAATAAATAAGACTAGGAGCAAAAGGGAAATTACTTCCCGTAGAAGAAAAAACAACAAGGGATACCGACAAAAATGTCACCAAAACAGTATGAAATAGATAAATACAGAATCCCTAAAGAAAGCCCAACACAACAAAATTGAAAATATTGCAGGCTCGGTTTGATTGAGCCTGTTCATGGACGGTACTGGAAGTGCAAGTTACCGTCCACGCCCCCTAGCACCGGCTTAAACAGAATTCAACATTAAAACATGAAAATTTATAGTAAAATTTTGAATTTAGAAACACCCGCAGATGTGTTCATACGGCGGTTATCATGGAACCTTCAATGTGACACTTCCGTGCCATTCCATGAAAAGCGGTGTATGGTCCCCAAGTAATAAAAAGCGTGTGCCCTAAACAAAAATAACAAAATCATGCATCTGAGAAACAAATAGGGGCGCCGCCTTGGACCGGTCAGCAGCATAAGCACTGCTGGGGAGTTTAAAGCGGTTAATAGTGCACCAAGCCTTACACTTAGCCCGCCATGTTCCTATAAACGAGACGGTGTAAATAAAATGAATCCCCGCCAAGTAAATTTATAACAGTTGTTATGGTTTCAAAAGGTAAAATCAGTAAAACACCGAGATGATTATGTAGATACATGTACATATAAATAAATACCCATATGACCATAACAAAAGTTCTCAATAATAGGAAGACAGAGTAACAAAAAAAAATCACCTACAGGGGCCCGACGAAGCAAGGCAGAAGACGAACATTAAGGCAATTCAGTCCCAAAGGGCATTAAGAACTCTCCATCATAGAGTTATCCAATTGGTCCGTCAGATGTATTCAAAAGAGGAAAGGACAAACTGTTAAAGTGTTGAACACTTAACATGCGGTATATCTATAAAAACGTTAATAATTTAGTAAAGGCAACAATGACCAAAGATCTTGCGAAGTTTATAAATAACATCTCCATTAAAATCATTTTTGAATCACTACTGAATTTTGAGATTAAATCAAAGATACGATTGTTAAGTTTTGTAAAATATCTACGTAATTTATAATAGCGGTAGCCCTGTTTGAGTAGCTTGCTAGTAATAAAAATATTTAGCTTGCTAAAATCCTTCACGTTGCTAAAAGTTCTAGCGAATCTAATTTACTGAGATACATATACCCCGTCAGATATTGCATGCGGTACGTCTCCATCTAAATGTGGATAGTTTACTATACCATAATCAAAGTCATCACTTTTATCATAGATTTTTGTGTGAATAGAATTGTTTTTGATAGTAATATGAAGAGCCAAAATAAAGTTTAAACGTAGTTTAATTAGCTCCCAATATTTTCTGCAACTGAAATTTTCCGTGGTTGGCCGTGGGTTGTATACCACCCGGAGGTGAAGGTCACTTGACGCCTTCGTTACCACGTACAAAGGCATCGTACTCAAAATACGACGTCGGGTACCTATCATGTGGTCTTCGCGTGTCCTGCTTGTAAACTACTTTGTACAAAATTGCATCTTTTAGGTGACTTCGTGTGTGTATCGGATGCGATCGCCTGACCCTCGGTAGAAATCGTGTGTGGTTCTGATGCGATCGCGTGACTTTCTGTAGGAATCGTACTTGTTTCGGCTGTTGAGAGACTGTCGACCAATTTCGGGGCTATCTCCGCACGAAATTAAAATTTTCATATTCGTATGCCCATCTGGTGTGAATTTCGGGACAGTGTGACGCCTGCATAAATGAGGAATAAAATATCGCCCCTCTTGGCGGTGGCTCTTGTCGGTTTATACAAGCATAATTATCAAATCGATTATTGCATTGCACGTTTAATTGATTGAAGACGACTTCTACACGATATAATAAAATCAATCCCAACCCTTACTTCCTTCTTCAACATGTCCTTGAATTTGCAGTGAAGGTTGAAATCAAAATACCGTGTCTGTTCTGTGAAATGGCACTATAATAATTGTATTCAATCTTTGAACCGAAATGATTAAAAAGATGCGATTGAGGTCGTTGTTCTCTGACAAAGAAGTTTAGCTGGCCACAAATATATCAATCTTATAAAACAAAAAAAATTGGCAAAGTATGTTTGAGTGTTCAAAGTTATTCATGACCAACATGTTTTATTTATTATTTTTTTTGTTCCCAGGTACATTCGGGTCATACTGCCGCCAATATGAATCACAGATGGATGAAGATGCATTTTGGTGTGAAAGAGGCTGTTGTGGAACCTTTGGGACCAAGTACTGTTGTGACGTTGACGGCATCAGGAAAATCTTCTTTCTTTCTTTTTACTAAAAACATATGTATATGATAAAATGTTTTGCTGTGATTAGATGTTACAGAAGTCTAGTTAGAAATTTTATTACACATAACCTTTTTGTTGTGGTTCTAGAAAACGCTATTTCTGAAATGTTTTAATTATGCCAGTAATGTAATATCTTCAAAATGGGATCTGATTGCAATCGGAAGATATTTGAAAATGGAATATATAAATTATAATTATTTTATTATTATACATAATTATATAATTAATACTATAACACGTTTGTAACGTCGCTTTTCATTGGATAATCGTGGCTCGGTTATATATTTCCAAACAACCGTTAATATATAACCTGTCTAAAATCTATATTAAGGAAAAAAGACATACGAGACGGTTTTACGTAACAAAATTATTTGTTTCATTTTTTTAAGGGAAGGAGTTATTGCTGCCATTGTTATAAGCTTGGTTATTTTAGCCGTCATTGTTGCATCTATAGTGGTGGCCTGGTGCTGCTGTTGTCGGAAAACAAGAGGACAGATTGGACGGGTGTGCCAACCGGCTACAGCTCAAACAGCTACAAGTATAGAAAGTGTGTTTTTATGCTCTTATCGCAATATCATAAAAAATGTTAATTGAATCGATTAATATGTTTCAACGCGTAATGGATAGTTTTCTTTTAAAAGTTGTGTTTGCTATAAATAAACCCTCTTATGTTATGTAAGTCGCCGACTAATCTCATTTTTTTCAAGCTTTGATGCAGAGAAAGATTATATATATAAACCGACAACGTGCCGAAATTAAAACTGTTATTACCATTCACGGCATGCCTACCCTTACGTAGAGTATATAAAATATAGTTCATAATTACGTGTAATAATAAGTCTACAAACATGTACAATTTCGGTACGAAACACTGCTTTTGGCACTTAAATTTATTCTAGAGGCATAGTGGTTAAGGTCTTTGATTGAGAATAATTTGAGTCGCACCGCTGTGTGTTCGAATCAAACTAAAGACTTAGGATTTGTCTATGTGAGGAAGCTATCCAGTACCTCTCGTAACGTCAGTGGTTCTACTTAAATGTCCCTTTGTTTCTTAAATAATGCACGGAGGGGCACCTGAGGTTTTCCTCCACCAGGAAAGCTGGGAAGTTGCAATGTGACCTTTTTGTGTTGGTGCAACGTAAAGCTCAGCAAAGATACCTTTCCAAGGCAATTTTATATCATGTTACATTGCAGTTCAAATGCACAGTTCGCTGCCATACGGTCAGATTGGCCGTAACGGTACCGATAACACTCCTGTTACACTAATGACGTCGAATGTGACGCCAGGAACAACGCAACAGTGGCAACAACTTGTACCTCCGCAAAAGTACGAGGGCTTGGCTCAAAAACAATAAGAAAAAGATATGTGTGATTAATGTAAATATATGTATCTAACAGTGTTCATGAAATTTCTAAATTCGGTAGCGGGATATTTTTTTAAGATTTCCTTTTGTAAATGTTAATATTGTGAATAACTAAATGCGGTCTTACTATGAAATAAGTACGTCACATGTATACTCTGATAAATAACGTGAAACAAAGGGGAAAAGAAAAACTTTAAAAAATGGTGAAAAGAAAACTTAAAAAACAACAACAACAAAAACATTTGTTGATTCAAAGGGAGGAAAGAAGGTGTTTGGTTCGTTTTCAAATGAACAGTATATTAACAAAATTGATGCAATACACTATTTTTGCAACAACTAAACCAACAAAACATGGCGGTTTTATTCTTGCTCATGTCTCTTTATACAATATCATTATATACTGTGTGTTGTTTAACAAATTAATTTGTTTTGACTATTAATGTTGATTAAACTTTTTAAATCAGAAAATTGTTGAACCCCTTTTTAGTATTTTGAAACCACGAGAAGCCGGCTTTTAGGACAAGAAAGAAAAAGAATGTAGTTTGTAGAATTATGATGCCAGAAGTAGGACCTGGTGACTTTTATATGTTAAGCCGTTGCATTTTTTTCACAACTTAACAGTTTTAAATGATAGAAAGGAGACGTGTTGATTTTTTTTTTCAAAAGAAAGTTACATCTTACTTTATAATAAACAAAAATGTCCGTTTTCTTCAAGTACCTTTTGAAAAGACATAAAACGTTATTGTATATATTTTTCGATAAAAACTTTGGCAAAATGAGTTATTTTTCTAATAAAAAATCATTATAATTTATAAGTAAATACCCATAAAGATAATAACATGCAGATTATGACATGTCTAAATATAGATAAGCATAATTCAAACTTGAACAGAAAAGCAAACAAACTGGCAAACATGGTGGACAAGATTTTAATTACGTTTATTTTGTTTTCCGGATTTTCAGGTAAGAGGTTGATAGAAACTTTACAATCCATTAAAAATATTTAAATTATTTTTAATTAATGGTTTCGAGACACTAAGATACTCGCATGAAACACATTTTTGTTATTAATTTTGTCGAATCTTCTTTTTATCGATATTTAAATGTTAACGTAAATTATGATTTAATGATATTAAAATTTAAAATAACATGTCGCTTAGACTAATATTGCATATTAGCAACCTAGAACTAAAATAACACCCGAGGCGCTATTACCCGGAGAGACATGTGTTGTTTTTTTTTTTTTTTGTTTTTTTTTTATTATACCGAACTAACATTTTAATATAATGAAACAGTTTAATATAGCTGAGTGAGCAGAGCGGCCAGGGGAGAAAACTAGAAGTATATAGATTACTCGCCCCTGGGGGATATTGAAAAAAAAATATTGACCAAGTCATATTCGTTTGCAGGATGATATATCGAAATAACACCATGTGCTATATGCTAGTGAAAAGTTACTTATAATAAAAGATAGGAACGCTTTCCTGTTAAAATTTAATGTCGGGAATATAGACAGAAACTAAAAAGCACGAATCAATAAATGTCTCAGTCGCTTGCATGAATGGAGCATTGTATTTTCATAGTGGGCTAAAATATGTGAATGATAACAACGTTGTGAGTAATACACAAGGAGTAAGATAAATTATTGTAATTATTTTATTATTTCAACCTGTGAACTCTTGTTTTATCAGTGAAATAAAAATCAATATCATTTGCAATATGGGTGATATAACTTTGTCGGTCTTTTCAAACATATATTTATACGCAGTTAGAATTGTGCAGCTTTGTTGTTGTTGTTGTTATTGTGCTATAGATTGTTTTGTTAAGTTAACTCTGGCTATCAAATGCTACGATTTCTCATGATTGTTTGAGATTAAGGTGTCCTTCTAAGGCACAAATGCAGCAAGATATTTTAGTGAGTGTCAGTCGTACAGTTTTATCGTATACAGACCCCAACTTGGGTCCTCGTACAGAACGTAAAGAAGTACATGTATAAAGTAGAGAAGTATACTTATTGGTCAATATAATGGATTTTTAAAGGCCCATTGATCCTCAGAAATGTTATCAAGTTTATATCTTGTTGCACCTTTCGAAACAACTTCTTTGCCTTATGGACTTTTTCGCTACTTTAGGCAATTGGTATAATTGTGGTGGCTTAGTATTTTTTATCGAAGTCAAACGACTACAGTAATTTTTATTTATATTTTGCTACCTTTGCGATGCATTAGTGCACGTTAAGCGCTACTTTCTTCGGTTGATTTACTCCTAAAATGTTCTAAATCTATTACAAAAGCATTATTCACTAAATGTTTGACATTTTGAAATAATTTTAAAAAATATTAATTTATGAAGCATAATGTGCCTTTCAAAAATCATATTACAATTAATTTCTGTCTGTTTTTCTCAGGTACATTATCGACATCAACAAACCCGTAAGTTGACCTTTTTTGTTTTATTAAACACGGACAAGATATGCTTTCATTTTGCAAGACAATCTTTCAAGTCAAGGTGTTTCAAAACCCTGTTCAAGCTTATGAGTAAAAAAGGAACTGCTACTATTTCCCATTATTATGACAATTTCGGCTTTTCGTTTTGCGCGAAAAAGACTGTAATTTGCATTTTTATCAGTCAATCATTATTGCGTGACATCATAGCACGCTAAGATCATTACAGTGACGTCATTTATGCTTTCTTATCATGTATTTTCTACATATTTTCGTAAAATACACTGTTGTGTGATAAAATGCAGTTTTCACATGTAAAAGTTTGGTCTGTTTGCTTCAGTGAGATTTAGAAAATTGCGAGGTTTGTCACTTCATGTTTATTTAAAAAAAAGTATTAGAATGATAAAAGGAAAGAAAAAATATTTTTCACAAATGTACAAGCTATTTTAAAATTCCCTTCATGTTAAAGGGATATTCAGGCAAAATAATGACAAAAATATTAAAATGATCTTTTGTACTCAAATCACACTTAAATGACATTTCTTGAAGTTTCAGCATGAATTTCTGTTTCGATTCTAAATATTTTTTTGGTTTGAAGCGTAATTTTATCTATATATTTTGAACAAACATTAGACCCAAATAGAATCACTTAATAGTTTTAAAACAATTAACATGACCTGAACAAACCCTTGAAGTTACAATAACAGATATTGTGGATATTGTATGATTGAAACAAGTTTAAGTCATTCATTTAACATGTTCTTTAACATTTCCAGAGTTCACTTTGACAACTATTGTGAAATGCTAAGGCTCTAACCTCTAACCACGCGGGACAAGTTAGGAAACCACCATTTTATTCTTTATATGGAGAAAAGTTTTGTTCCTTTGACTGTCTAATATATTCATTTTGAGGGCATCTACAGAATAATGACTGAAAAACTCAAAACTAAGAAATGAAAATGTTGCCTGTGTCTCCCTTTAAGATGAGCTTTAAGAATGTTTTGACTAAGTACTTCACAACTTAATTACCATATACAATATTGCTTTTTGTCGTTTCTGTTTTCAGGTTTGGTGATGGTTATCTTTATTTTATCATAGGCGTAGTAGTTTTTGGCGTCATAATTGTGGCAGTAGTAGTGGCGGTCATCTGTTACTGTTGCTGTTGCCGAAAACCAGGCGGATACGCCGGCCAGGTCTTCCAACCGGCTGCATTCCAGACAGCTACAAGTAAATCTTTGACTTTATATATAATCTATATAAACACTATCATAGAAAATAAATATCAATTCAAATAGTATTAGTCATGCATATTCATATATTGCATAAACTACAAGAAAAGAACTGTTAGAGAAATTAAGAAAATTCAGTATGATTTTCACAGTTTCACGACTTTCTAGTCGCCTGATTATGTTAAACATGTAACAGACTTTTAATTCAACTTATGCCGTGGACTAACTTTTGAAGAATGCAGTGTAGTACTGCTGCAGTGTAATTTATGACATACTTCATTTCAGTTCAATATCACAGTCCGCTGCCATACGGTCAGGTTGGCTATAACGGTACCGTCAACATGCCGGATACAATTTTGACGTCAAACATGACGCAAGGAACAACACAACAATGGCAACAATCGGCGGATCCACCAAACTACGAACAAGTTGTTGAAAAACAATGAAAAAGAGGTGATGAAAGAAGTATGAACTTCATCTGATAGTGATTTATGTTAGAATTTCCCATATCGAACTATATTTTTGCTCGGATTTACTTTTTGTTTTGTTTGTTTATGTTTTGTGTTACTTGATAAGTTGTCACTATCAATTAAATAAGTTTCATTATGATAATTGAAGCAAAGACAATTATGTTATACGATTTAAAACCAAATGCATGGTAAAATGAAAAATAAGAGATAACATGGTTTGTTTTAATACAGAATCAAAAAAAAAGTGAATCGCAGCCTTATTCTTTGTGCTGTGTCCGCTTTATGATTAATGCATTGATATGTTAAAGGGACACTACTGAGCTTTATGTGTGTGTGTGTTTTATCATGGGACTGGAAATAATGTTTAGAAATTATTAATCAAAGTAAGATAATAACAGACCAATAATGTATGTGCATTATTTCAGATCAGTAGAATAATCAGTTTTCTAGAATAAATTATTCTGATTGAAAATAAGGAATATTTTGGTTTTCTTCCCAGGTAGTTCGGGGGCATAAATAAACTTTTACAAATAAGCGCAACACCATGACTTATGTATTGGTAAGCGGTAGTTCTTCGTAAAGCTATGACGGTTACGGTTTGTTTCTTCAAATTTGGGAGATATCGAATACTTTACAACAGAAATTTTCAAGTTAATATCTTAAATCACAGACCCATATTTAATGTAAGTATCTGCTTTAATTCATCTATGCGGCGGTTATTTATCAAATAAACTATTTTAAACAGACTGTTAGTCATTTAGATTAAATCAAATTGTTTATGGATGTTTCGAATACTAATAAAATGTGTTTTCTTTGCCCTACTTAGAATGCGCATGCGCGAAATGCTAGCTTTCTAAGAAACTATCGTACTTTTAAAAGGTTATATTGCATAGTTTTATCTCTATTCCCTACCATGCATATTGAACAGAGAACAACATTTTGTCAGGAACATCCACGTGACACGCTCATGTTCACAAATATTTGTTTGCAGTAGATTTCAAGTTTTCATATTTGTCGAATAAGCATTAACACATGTTTTCAAATGGACAAAGCTGTGTCAAAAAATCATCATTGACATCGAAAACGTTGACGTCCAGACACAGTAGTCTATAAAAGAAATTTCGTACACACACTTTTTTTTAACTCAAGCCAACTGATTAATAAAAACTTTTGTCGGATTTTGTTGCATATTAACCCAGTTAAACCAGGTGTTTACAGCAATAAGGTCAAAAGCTCTAACCCAAGAGAAATGGTCCCGAAAAGATTTATTTATTTCCGTTTCGTTCTTTGTGTAATATAAGTAATAAGTCTAAGAATTGTTTTAAAATGCACTGCTTTCAGAAGAAAATAGTTGAAACACCATCAGTCTTATTCCGTTGCGGATTAGCCCTGGTATAAGTTTGAAGGGTCTTCTGTACATCAATGTATAGTGCAAAGCTCTAAACCAAATTGAAATGACCACTAGATGCCCGCATGGCATGAATTCTTTTGGTAAAGGGTCAACTCGGCCCTATACCAACTCGGCACAGGTCAACTCGGCCCTCTATTAAAAACATATATTAGGATATAGATTGTTTAGATTGAAAATTACTATAAAGTTTTTCAGAAATATGATCACTTACAAACAGAAATTGAAAACGTTGGCAGTGTACCTGTACGTATTGTTTGAAATTACAGTGTATCTGATATCAAGACAATATATGTTAAATATTGATCAATAAATAGAGTTTTTAGATTGAATTTGTGTGACAATAAATGTAATTGTATTTAATACTGTTTGTTCTTTAATACGACCAATGCTTTTTTTAACGATATTTTTTACAAAAAAATCTGGAGTGGCAAAACATGCGTATAAATTGTAAATTCTTTCTTTCTCTACAAATTCTCATACAAATTGGTACTTTCATCAATAAAACTTTTTAATATCCTTGAGTAGAGGTCTGTTAGTGTGAAAATGTTAAACCATGAAAGTTATGAGGAAAACATGTCAAAAGTAATAAAAATAATCGTTACCAGTAATATATAATTATGGACCGAGTTGGAATAGGGCCGAGCTGACTCGAGGGCCGAGTACGTTTTAGGGCCGACCTGACCCTGATTCATTCTTTTTGGATCTGCAGTTTGTTCTTTTTGTATATCTTAAGAACGACTGACAATATGTTCAGTGCTTTTTCCTCTCTTGTGTCCCTTTCCTTTTGTTTCAAATGTATGATGATGATGATGATATGATGATGATGATGATGATGATGATGATGATGATGATGATGATTATTATTATTATTATTATTATTATTATTATTAAATACTCGTTGTATTCGAATAAGATAAAATACACTAGTTAGTTATAACCGCGACTCCCATTTCATCTATGCGAGCTGGACAAACCTTTCGGCATGTTGTTGCTAACACAAAGCCGCTATAGTGACACGGAACAAGCTAGAGCGGATGACATTAAACACTTAGCCTACTTACCCCACATCAATAATCGACTCCCCACTCGTGATATGATAATAACAATAAAGTAAATGATAATAATAATCATAATTATAGAATATATAATTATTAATAATGATAATAATGATAATAATCATCATCGTCAAAATGATAACATAAATATTATTATTATTATTATTATTATTATCATTATTATTATCATAATTATAGTAGTAGTCGAAGTAGACAATTTTTATCAAAACAGGAAGTAGAATTTCCGCATAAATGAATCAGGTAACCCAGTTTAAACACATAAAGATAATAAATACACTTTACCTATTTTAAAATGTCGTAACGGGGTATTTGTATACGGTCATATGAAAGGCGACGACAATAGATTTTGCAACGGGTATATGACCAATTTCAAATAGACCGTACCCGTACTTATATCTATTTATAGCCTTCCATTTTAGACAAATAGTTAACAGTGTTTTGACGCAGATAAGAAATAAAAATGGAGGACACGAAACTTTTCGCGATTATTTTGCTGTCAAGTTTTTCAGGTATTTATAAAGTATAGAGATTTATTTGTTTTTTACCAAACATTTTATTATACTTTTATCATGATACAAGAAGTAATCGTTAAAATCATTACAATTTTGATAGATTTATAATCGTACTTTTAAATTTTTAAAGCTTGTACTGAAGTACACTGTTGAAAACTTAAGTCGTCAAACGTTTAAAAAGTTTATGACCAATTAGGTCAAGAAAGTTGTAGAATGAAATAAGAATAAATATTCATTTATTTCTTAATATTCACAACACCGAATTTGATCGTAAAGAAGTAGTCGGAAACAATGATGTTAAGTGTTCAATATCATACAAATAATAAGACTTTAATCAGCTATTGATTATCAAAGTTATTTAATAGAACAGAATAGAATAGAACAGAACAGATCAGAAAAGATCAGATCAGATCAGACAATTAAATAATAAATATTCTCCAATTTGAATATCTCTCTAGAAACTTTTCAGTAATGAATAAATATTACATATTCTCCACGTTGAATATCTCTCTAAAATCTGTTTAGAAATGATAAATGTATGTAAACATTTGAAAAGATAAAATGAGCCGCGTCACGACAAAACCAACATAGTGGGTTTTCGACCAGCATGGATCCAGACCAGCCTGCGCCTCCGCGCAGTCTGATCAGGATCCATGCTGTTCGTTTACCAACTCTATTACAAGTAGAGAAACTGATAGCAAACAGCATGGATCCTGATCAGACTGCGCGGATGCGGATCCATGCTGTTCGCAACCCAACTATGTTGGTTTTGTCGTGACGCGGCTCAAATAATGAGATGAAAAGAGAATACAATTAAGTTTGGCAGACATTTAATTATAACAAAAAACTGTAGATTTTAATGTAATTCAATTACATTCGATTATTTTTTTTCTTCTAAATTTTAAACTGCACTGCATATATTTAAACCATTCTTTTTCTAAATATTAATTGAGTAAATATACCTTTAGTAAACAGTGAAACTAAGTTTATAATAACCTTGTATAGCGAAGGATTAATATGTTTTCCTTTAGTTAACAGTATAGTATGTATACAACCGGTTTAATATGAACAGAAACTTTTCAGTGCAACGCTGTAACGCTGTAACAATATGAATATAAGGTACAAAAAATATTTGCTTTTTACATTAGGGAAATATGTTAAAATTGAAAAGCAAATTCACGTGGATGTCACTTAACACCGATTTTACCCATCTCTTGCATTTAAACAGAGGCGTGCGATTAGTGTACGGTCGACTCTTCTTCTTTTCATGGGAAGACAATTTTTATCTTAAGGTCCTTTTCTACCATGTAAGCGTTTAAACAAAACAATGTCCCAGTTTTATAAACTCACATATATCATGTAATCGTGTTTACTTATACATGTATTAGCCGATAAAACCACATAACCCCCTACCACCCCTATCATTTTCTCTTTAAAGAATATTCGATACGTGACATTCACTGTGACATTGACTATTGTCAACCCCAAGTATCATATGTCATTCTTTACGTAATATAATATAAATATACTATAATAACTATTGTACTTGTGCAACGATGTTTTTATTCTTTTTGGTATAATAGTAATTCAGTACGTTATATCGATTAAAAACACACTCGAGACCAGGAACCAGTTATCTTCTATCTCTTGTGTTTGTATATTTCAAAAGGTTAACCGCAAAATATAAATCCGCAAACATTTTATATCTATATAGGTAGGTCTGATACAATGTTTATAAAGTAATCTGAAAAATTATCTCGATATATTCATGGTTAAATTGAATACAATTTGATATATTATCAAAATTAATACAACATAAACACGTGTCATAAAGTAGTTCAATTGATTTGTTTTGAAGTTTTTAAATTTTATCATCAATCTATAACATTTTAAGTATTAATTATATCTTACTAGTGTATATTAAAGGGGCTTCAATGTTGTTGTTTTATTGGCATGACATGACTGGAAATAGTATTTTGAGATATATGTACCATTTGATGTTGGTCAGGACCATTTATGTTTTGTGCATATTTTTTGAACATTTGGTTACTCAATTTCCTTACTTTATCATTGGTCAACACTCAAATCGGGTTAAAAATTGCACACATACAAGAAAAAATAGTAGTGAAAGATATCGGTTTTCCGTTCAGTTCTGTTCTTTATAATCTTAAACTTGCCTATTTGTTTTTACGTTTAATATGCCCCGATGAATGTATATAAGAACTTCTGTGCAAGTGTATGTTGTAGGTTTTCAAATGTCGTTGGTGGTTCTATAACAACCTGTCTATTGTGCGTATCATTTTTTCTTTATTTCCATTTGTTCAGATTCTTCCTAAACTGGTCAACAATTTATCTACTGTAACAAGAAAGATGCACATTATTTGTTGAAGCTTAAAATTTAATCTATGGAAATAAAAAAAGATTTGTACTCGAAGATCTTAAACTAATTCCACTCCGTTTCAAATCTAAATCTATTAAGACATGGTCAGATTGTAAATTTGCTATATCATAATTTGAATGCACGGAAAATTGCGTAATGTAACGATTTTCAACGAATATTTGTGAGACCTTGATTTATGAATTTCATTGTTGATATGTTTTGTAGGAATACTAGCTGGAGAATGGTGTACAGATTATACCGATGACTTGTTTGACAGCACAGACACAATTTATTGTGAAGATGGATGTTGTGGGAACACCTATGACCAGTATTGCTGTATCAGCGGGTAAGACGAACAGTCTTTTCTTCTTTTGGTATCGGTGCGTAATTTAAACATCTAAATTGTACTGAGTACTCTTTGGTAAGGTGTACATTTAACCTTATTGTCTGTGGGTACAGTGAAACTGTAATATAGAGGATATTTGTTTGTTTTGCGTGTAAGATTGAAATATAATTTCACTGAGTGAACACCAGATGCAATATTTTCACGAGTGGCGTAGCCACGAGTGAAAATATAATAGCTGGTGTTCACGAATGAAATATATTTCAATCTTATATGTAAAACAAACAAATTTTCTTTTTATTTAAAAAAAACAACATGCGTTTTAAGTGATTTTAAGTAATGTTTACTGATTTTGCCGCGTAACGTCGCGCATTCTCCTTCGTGACGTCATCACATCATGACGTCACATCAACAAGTTTGAAATATAGTTCTGTTAAATTTCTCTAATTTTGTTACATTTTTAACATAATGTATGGTGACATCGACCTTCTTTTCCGAAAGAAGCAAAATTAACGCATGACGGCATTTATTTTTGCCGGTAATTCCATTCAGTTTGGATTTTCTTTTCATCCGCATTCAGATATAGTCCGGCTACAGTGAAAATTATATTTTATAAATTTCACTAGTGGTTTATCAGAATATAATCATCTGATATATTACAATAAAACACTGGAAAGCATGAAATAAGTTACTGTTATACCAGTGGATAAGGTGGACAATGTTATTACCTTACTGTATTTTTGGATAATAACACCAGTTTGTACTGCCGCTGTATGGGACGGGCGTGCTTGGAGAACAATGATAATACGAAAAAGTCACCACCTTTCATACCATTATATGTATGCTTGTGTATATATATATTAATCATGTGGAACTTGTAGTAATAAATAAACGTTCTTCTTCTTTAAACCTAAAATGTTAAAATATATTCATCGTTTGTACGTGTAAGCATTTTAAAATGACTGACGCTGTTAATCCCCTAAGGAATCATTATGTCCTTTTTCATTCTTATATTTATAAATCAATAATGAATTTGCAAATTCTATTTTATTTTTCAGACATGCTGGCATGATCGTTGGCATTGTTTTAGGCTCAATAGCCCTGGTTGCCGCAATTGTGTCTATCCTGGTGGCTGTATTCTGCTGTTGCCGGAAGTCTAGGGGACAAGCTGGACAAGTGTGCCAACCGGTTACTGGGGCTCAAACAACAGGTATATCGAGGGCGAGAAAATAATAGCCACATAAACATGTAGTCTCTGCCTGACCAGATTTCTACGTTTTTTTTCTTCTTTATATTATACAATGACCAAGTCACGAGGAGTGTTAAAATGTTTTGCAGT